ATATATGTGCATATGTAGGTATGTGTATAAGACATACATCCATACACATACCCGTATGTGGCTATATATATATATATACATATACATAGAAGCAAGTCTACGCTGATACGAAGAGTCAAGCCTATGCACATACTAAATGTACATGTCGTCAAAGTTATTATCTGAGGAAGGGTTCCCCTTTACACTAACCGTGCGAGTATAGTACCCCTTATTCTCCATAAACCCTAAACTCTAAACCGAGGAGTTACTGGGCAAGGTGATATTTTTTTGGGCAAGGTCATATGTTTACTGGGCAAGGTCGTTTTCTTACTGGGCAGGGTCCTATTTTTACTGGGCAAGGTCGTTCGGTCCAAAAAACAACCTTGTGCCTGTAAAAATATTGCCTCCGAAGGTCATGTTTTTTTAGCGTGCACTTTTGGGTTTAAGGCCTACTCTGGGCTGGCTTTAGGGTTTAGGGTCTAGACCCTAGATAGTGGGACGCGAAGCACATTTGGACCATATATAGTGGGACACTAAGCCAATCTAGATAGAAACATGTAAGTGAAATATGTTCTTAATGTTATGGGGATTCTTTGGGCGGGTGGGTATATCCAACGCTCGAGTAATTGCTTGACTAGTGAATGCTTAGACTTGAAATGCTGAACCCTAAACCCTAAACCCTAAACCCTAAACCCTAAGAAGGGCAGCATGGCCTCAGCAGCTTGCCCTGGAATGGACGCGGAGCCCCGCATCCCTAAGCCGCGTGATGGAAGCTTCGCTTTTCGCGTCGGGAAAAACAAAGCAGGAGTCGCCGGCTTAAGGTTTAGGGTTTCGGGTTTAGGGTTCGGGTTTCGGGTTTAGGGTTCGGGTTTCGGGTTTAGGGTTTAGGGTGACATGCCATTATGCAGTGCTTGGAATGTGAGTCGGTGGTTGTATGGAGTTGCATCGCCTGGAGAAATGGGAGGCCCGGATGTACCTCAGGCCCAGATCCCCAAGGCCTCCTCAAGGCCAAAAACCCGTGGAGAAAATGGAGTCCCAGAGACCCAACTGACATGCACAAAGCTTGATAGAAAGGACACTACTCTGAAGTGACTCCTGAATCCTAAATCCTGAAACCCCGCGCGCAAAATCAGATCCCTGAAGCTCTACATCCTAAACTCGAGCACGTGCAGGTGGTCAGCACGAAGGTCCAGGGAAAGCCTGGTGCACGCGGCTGAGATGTTCGCTTTCGCGGTTGAAGAGTGCGGGTTCTTTGTTTTGGGATTTAAGAATATAAGGTTAGGGTTTAGGGTTTAGGGTTTAGGGTGTAAGGTCTAAGGTTTTTGCAAGGTTTGAGGCTTTTGCCACCCTCGGCACAACTCGATTCGGCGCACAGGGCTTGTAAAGTAAAGTTATGGGGTTGGGGTAAGGTTCATCCAAGGCTGGTGTCAGTTTTGTCGTCAGCTAGTACCTTGAGTACGGGAAGGCAAGCTCAGGTGCTTCATGTTGAGAGAGATGCGTCAGGAGAAGTGGGTAGGCGTTTGGCTTCAGAGTGCATACCGCTGTTATGCCACAGTGTCTGGGCGCATTGAAAGAAACTTTCATGTTGGGTCAGTTTGGAAGTCTCTAAACCCCAGACCCTAAACCCTACAACCGTGGACTCTTGAGGGAGGTACGGAAACGTTGACCTGGGCTTGTGTTCATACCCTGTTCGCGATGCGGCAGCACCTTGCGACTCTCTTGCCACCCGAAGTTTGGGGTTTAGGGTTAGGGCTTAGGGCTTAGGGCTTAGGGTTTAGGGTTTAGGGTTTAGGGTTTAGGGTTTAGGGTTTAGGGTTTAGGGTTTAGGGTTTATGGCAACGAGCAGTTTAAGAGCACTGAGAGGCTCACAGAGCCCTCCGAAGCCTAAAATCCTCAAAGCTCCAAACCATAATTACTTCCACTTTCCAAACCTCAGGCTCTAAGACCTAAATCCCTCAAGCTCACCCTAAACCCTAAACCCTAAACCCTAAACCCTAAACCCCAAACCTCCATAGTCAGGTCTTCTACCAGATGACGCACACTGACCGCGTGCGGAAGCTCGACCGGCAAAGTGACAAGGCTGCCCAGGCGCCGGGCCGGGGAGCATATCAGCCCAGGGAGCTCCATACCACCTTTGAAAGAGGGTTCAGGGTTTAGGGTTTAGGGTTTAGGGTTTAGGGTTTAGGGTTTAGGGTTTAGGTTTAGGGTTTAGGGTTTAGGGTTTAGGGTGCATTCTATGATTATGCGACACTTGGAAGCCCATTGGTACCCCAAACTTGCTTGGGTTCTGGGTTCCCTTATAAAGTCCTAGCCCCCAAAATGGGCACCCATATTGTATGATGGTTACTGGGCTACTAAACATAAAATAATATGATCTTTATAGTTAGCTATTTTTCATCGCTATATGTTCATGTACTTATATTACTGTGTTCGTATATGATTCCTTCATTTCAGGTTTCGGGTCTATGGGGACCAATTACGAGTTGGCATATCCAGAAGGTTGGGAGTTAGAGGTTCAGGGCTGGAACTTAGGGTTTTGAGGCTTATCGGTTGTACGCACAGGTTTGCGCTCATGGTGAGCTGGCTCGTTCTTGCCGGGACTTGCTGTGATGCACCAGTTGGACAAGTTTTGAAGCACGCCGGCCCTTACCAATACTAGCACCTCGTGCGGGTCCAGGGACAAGCTACCTCGGTAAGCAAGCTTTGAAAAACTCCAACCCTACAAAGCCCCAGACCCCTAAGCTCGTAAACGAAAGCCCGAAGTGCAAGTACCATTGTTTATAGGGATCCGAAGTTTGGGCCCCTATTATATGTAGTAGTATAGTGTTTATAAGGGTTATGTAACAAAGGACCCAAATTAAGAAGGGCTTATACTTGGGACCCTAGACTAACATCAGGCCCGGTTCAGCTACGACTTCTCGCCCATGAGTGTGGTCGTCAAGGACCAACTTGTTGCTTCCGAAGCAGTGCACGCTGGAAAGATCATGTAATCACGGGATAGTATAATAGATACACTGCAAAGAAAGGAAACAGGAAAGGGCAACGAGTGGAGCAGCAGCATCATCGCGTTATCGCAGTAACGTGCAATGGCCACAGGAGTGAAGAAGGGTACACAACTACCAATAGCTGTGGGAGCCCACCGGTTCAGATAAGAGCTGCGGTAGTTGTGTAGAACTTTGGGTCCAGGGACTTGGGCAGAGACTTCTCGTGCACAGGTTATAGGCGCCTGGTAGTTTTTCGCCACCAAAACTAAAAGATCAGTCTCCCGATCGGTGCGTTCAGTGGCAGCTGCTGGCGTGGGTGTCCTTAAGGAATTAGTCTCGTTTCTTGAGTTTGCAATGCTGGAGATGGGCATGTCTCTACATGTTGGTCGTTCTTTGCGTACCAGCACTGTCTGGCCTTGTATTACCACAGCAAACCCAAACGGGACGAACAGAGCCCCTAAACCCTAAACCCTAAACCCTAAACCCTAAACCCCAAGCCCTAAACCCTAAACCCTAAACCCTAAACCCTAAACCCTAAACCCTAAACCCTAAACCCTAAACCCGAAGAGAGCTGATTCAGAGAGTCCCCGCTGGACCTTCGGCTCTCAAGCCAGACACATAGTACACGGATGTGCTCACATCGAAGGACCCTGGCAAGCCCCAGCTATTACTACGAGCCCTGAGGCCATCAGCAAGAAAGCTGCCAATGTAGGGTCAACCTAACCACTGCAAAGCCTCGTTGGACTCCATAAACCTGAAGCTTTAAGCCCCAAACCTGCAACTGAGAGCCTCAACAGCCGTCTCCGCCCCACGACGAAAGGCAAGCAACGAGTCTCTGAAACCCAAGAGCCTAAACCCGGAACCCCAAACCTTTTTCTTCTCAATCCCTCCGAAGAGCCTTGAAGCCTTGAGCCCAAAGCCCTGTAGCCCTGTAGCCCTGTAGCCCTAAACCCTAAACCCTAAACCCTACAAGCCCTAAAGCAACGCGAAAGCCATGAGTTCCGGCACGGAGACATTCCTGCCAGCCTGGCGTCCGCAGCAGATCCGGCGCTTGCATCGGCCTCAGGGTTTCCCAGACTTACTACTAGGGCCACTAGGGTTTATGGGGGTATAGAGTGTATAGGGTTTATAGGGTTTAGATTGTTTCGGGTTGAGGGTTTAGGTTTTAGAATCAGATGATGGGGGCGGGGGTGTATTGGTGAGATTTTGGAGTTGTTTTAGTCGTTGCTCTACCGGGGTTATAAGGTGAGACCGTATTGATAGTTTTTTGAGGCTCCTGCCGTGTATCGTTGAGGGTTTAGAGTTGATCTTGGTTGGAGAGTCGGACCCTAACTTATCGAGGGTCTAGGGCCTCTGCGGTTCATGGTGGCACCCGCTGCATGCTTCTACTGGTGCTGCAATCGAGTGCCCACAGTACCGTCAATACGTGCATGAAAATTCCAGCTTCGGGTGGAAAAACTCACTTTAGACATGAAGGAATACGAGATTGAGAATGCAACCCGCTTCGCTCAAACTTAACCCCGACTCCTAGCAATGGTTATGATCCTGGGCGCCTAGTGGGGGGCAGATCGCGATGCCCGAGGTTTTAGAGCGAAGAGTTGTGGGAAGTGATGAACTACACAGAGTCTACAGGAGTGGCACTGAAGATATCAGCCGAGCCCACGTACTTGTCGAGCCTTGCCGTTTTTCTCTTGTATGTCGCTTGCAGATCCATGCGCAATCGCGCAGCGGCAGATGCCAGGACCTGCCTTATCGGTTGATTCAATTGTTGATTTGACATGTTGGCGATTCAGTCTTTGGAGGTTCATGGGTAGCTATAAGCAGGGTTATAGTATCCCAACTAGGGTTATAAGTATAGTTACCCTACTTATAGCCCTAGTTACAACTACCCATGAACCTCCACGAGTTGGCACTTCAGGCTTAGGTTGCGGGGGCGGCAGGCGGGGGGCAGGCTGGGGGGGGGGGGGGGGGGGGGTGAAAGTTGTGCGACCTACAAGCCCATGTGAAGACTTTTCGCGAGCAATAAGCTCAGCCATGGAGGAATGGCATCAACAGCTTGTTTAGGGTTTAGGGTTTAGGGTTTAGGGTTTAGGGTTTAGGGTTTAGGGTTTAGGGTTTAGGGTTTAGGGGACCAGCACAGTGGAGCAGAATTTGCTGGACATGTTCGGACATGCTAGTTGCTGTGAGCAAACTCCCACGACGGGACCATGTAATTTTATTGGATTCTTAGAAAGGGTATTCTGGATAGCTTATAGTTCATATAAACCCTAAACCCTAAACCCCTAAATCCCTAAGCCCCAGGGATCAAGCTGTTCCCGAGTGGCCTGGAGACCCTAAGCTCCTTCTGTCTGGAGTCCAAGGTTCATCTTGGGGTATGTTACAAAATCCTATGGGCCCGTTTCCCTGTTTGGCCCTAAACCCTAAACCCTAAACCGTAAACCCTAAACCCTAAACCCTAAACCCTAAACCCTAAACCCTAAACCCTAAACCCTAAACCCTAAACCCTAAACCCTAAACCCTAAACCCTAAACCCTAAACCCTAAACCCTAAACCCTAAACCTAAACCCTCATGCGATTCCAGATCCAAAAAAAGCACCTAAACCCTAAACCAAATCCAGCTGCAGTTCTTGGAGGAGCCGCCCTGCAATCGATCTCGAGGTTGGGGCAGTTGCAGGTGAAGTGTACCCTAAACCCAACACTCTAAACCCTCAACCCTAAACCCTAAACCCCAAAGCCCAAAGCCCAAACCCCAAACTCTAAACTGTATTGTTGCGGTTTATTCGGCGGAGGACATGAGATCGAGTCGTAGAATTCATACAGGAACCTAAACACTTGGGAGTGCTAGTCATCAGTCCCGCTGTACTTCAAGCACTGCACGTGTACCTAGCAACCCTCGCCTAACTCCATGCAGCCCTGTAGTGTGTGGGGAGGATCTTTGGATAAGAGTGGTGGTGGCGCAGCAGCATGAGATCTGAGGGGGGTAGGTTCGAATCTTACCTGGTGCTCCAGAAGTCTCCCGAAGCTCAGATCTTGCATCCAAGTTTGGATCTTGAAAAGGCTCAGGTCGCAAGTCCTCAGTTTATCTTCCATCTGGAAGCTTTTGCCGCCCAGCAAAAGGCATGTACTCCATGTTTTTTTCTACCACCTCCGCTCCACTCAACAAGAGCTGCCAGACACTCTATCTAGCCGGTTCTGTATTCGGCTTCCGGTCGGACGCCCTGCAAGTATCATGATTGTGACTCTTCCCTAAACCCTAACCCCAAACCCCAAACCCCAAACCCTAAACCCTAAACCCTAAGCCCTAAACCCTAAACCCTTACTACTGAAGTTTCAACATCCCGTTTCCCTGAATCCCGGGAAGCCTGGGAGAATCCCGCGAGGTGTGCGGCTCGCAAAACCTGCACATGTCGCGGCCAAGCCGGCAGCCGCCTTAGCTCTCAAGCCCTAAACCCCTAAACCGTTTAGGGTTTAGGGTTTAGGGTTTAGGGTTTAGGGTTTAGGGTTTAGGGTTTAGGGTTTAGGGTTTAGGGTTTAGGGTTTAGGGTTTAGGGAACCATAAATCCTAACCCACCTAAATCCCTATCAAGCCCGTTGGGATCCTGGAAGGATGTTAATTTCTCCAGGAACCCGGAAATCTTAGATCCTCAAGCCTATACCCGGGCAGCTATGAGGCTGAACCCCACCTACACCCTCTGACTCAGCACCTACGAGGCGGAGCCCTACCTACCCTAAACCCTAAACCCTCTGACTCAGCACCAGGCTGTGTCCAAAGTCTTCGGGCATGTTCATCAAGGCCTCACCTCGCAGGTGCCCCGAGGGCGGGGGGGATGAACCTTTGTCCTGCCCTAGACTGGGGGTCGGAATAATTTCTAATAGTATTCCCTTACGGTCCCCTACCCCCCCAAAAAAAACCTATTCCAATTGTTCAAGCCCCTATATTACACTCAGCCAAGCCAGAAAGTAAAGTCCCGAGTCCCAGTTCGTACTTGTAAATAGAGAGCTCCAGAGTCGAATCGCCCCTCCACCCGAAATCGGCGGGGGAGGGGGTTAGGGTTTGGGGTTGAGGGTTTGGGGGCCTCAATGTGGAGCTGATATGGTTTGACTTTTCATGGAAACTTTGGCCGTGAAGGCTTTCAGTCAACGTACTGCTGAGTGCCGGAAGCCACCCGCGACCTATTCCCAATTCTACTGGACCGTGGCCTCTCTTGGCCGCCAGTCTATGTTGGCATGTCGCATTCCTAGAAAACATGCTCTGCTTGCAATTCCACAAAAGGCTCTGCCTTTACTCTTAGCCACAAGAAGCCGGTTCGGGACTTAGGGGAACATCAGCCCATGGCCTGCAAAGCTTTAAAAGCTTTGCACAGGTCGAGTTGTGAACTTCAGTGGCTGCCAGCGGAAGCTCCAGCACTGGAAGCAGGCCCCTGACGGAGGGTTCCGGTGCCGTCTCTTCAGGGGTCCTACCGAATTGCCTGTGTATAGGGGGGGGGGGGGCTCTAAAGTACCCACGCTGGGTTGCAGCGGCCGGCATGTCCCCTGGGCCCCTTTAAACGACTGGGAGCATACGACGGGTTTTCAACTTGCCTGACACAGAAACGGAAGCGTCCTGTATGCCAAAGAAGCCAGGTTGGACCCCGAGCTCTAAACCCGCCAGTCGGGCCAGAGTGCTGTTCTTTTCTACTAATTGCTTAAACAAAATATTCTTCCTTATTGCGGGTAACACAGGGATTATTAGTTTTTTATTCTGTTGGGGTTCTTAAGCAGCAAATAGTAGTTTTGGGTGCTTGTTATTCATGGGGGCCTCGGGCTTCGGTGCTTCGGGTCTGGATCCTGCAGGAACCTCTCTAGGGTGTAGGGATTCAACCCTTCGGCCCTTCAACCCCGTTCTTCACAACCCTAAACCCTAAACCCTAAAACCTAAACCCTAAACCCTAAACCCTGAACCCTGAACCCTAAGCCCAACTGGTTCCAGGCAGCCCTTGCTCAGACTGCTCAGCAGCTGGGCCTGGACATATGGGAGAGCCAGGGTTTAGGGTTTAGGGTTTCGGGTTTGGGTTTAGGGTTTAGGGTTTAGGGTTTAGGGTTTAGGGTTTAGGGTTTAGGGTTTAGGGTTTAGGGTTTAGGGTTTAGGGTTTAGGGTTTATGGCGGAGGGGTGGGGCAGAGGGATGGATTTGCTTGGATTTAGGTCGACAGGTGTACTTGGCTCAGGATGTTCCCCCTTATACCAACAGTCCTTAATAGGGATTATAGTACCCCTAGTATAGTCCCTATTTTGGACTGTTAGTATGAGGGGGAAAAACCCAATGGACAGGTAAACTTGGTTGTTGATTGGCTTGTCAAGGCTGGGTTAAGCTACTAGAAACATCGAAGCATGGAAGTCCCTGATGCAACGCCCGTTCAGTGAGGATGTTCGTTCAGTTTTGTGTCCAACGCCTACGCGCTGACCTGTAAGAGCAGGTTGCCCAACGATCCCAAGCAACCGCGCACTTTCCAAACAACATAAGTAAACCCTAAACCCTAAGGTCCCCCCTGTGGACAGCTTCGCCACTCGCTTGGCGGCGCCGCTTGCGAGGCATCTCATCTTGTCACGGGTTGCAAGCTGCCCGATGTGCTTTCTTTGTACGTGGGTACGCGAGGACGGATTTGAGGCTCTCGACCTATGGGGATCTGAAGGTCTATTAGGTTGAGTATTTCAGTGTTGGGTGTGAAATCCATTGCATTTCGCCGTATCGCGGCCGAGGCTTAATGCTTGAACCCCCCAAACAGACCCTGAACTTTGACCCTGCAAGCATTGGCGAGCCCACCACCTGTACTGTACCTCTGAACCCCAGCCATAAACCTGCTTGGATTCCACACCTCCATGCTCATCTCACGGCCTAAAGCCGAAAAAAACCCTAAAAAGCTGAAACCCCTAAAGGCCTTCAGTTTTGAAGCCGTACGGATCCCTAAACCGCTATAAATCCTGAACCTTCCGAGCCCTCCACAGCAGAGCGTACCCCTAAACCCTGAACCCTGAACCCTGAACCCTAAACCCTAACCCTAAACCCTAAGCCCTAAACCCTAAACCCTAACTCGCAGGGCTTTGGTGGAGCACTTCGGCTCTCTCGACCGGGCCTTCGCTGCCGTGGCACGTGGCAGCACAGGCTCGGTGCACGGGTTTGGCGCGCGTCTCCCCAGTCCCATCTTGGGATGTTATACTATGTTATACTAACAGTCCTTAATGGGGATTAGAATAGGTCCCCCGATAATACGAAGAGTCCTTAATGGGGATTATATAGAATAGAGGGGTACTACAATCCCGATTTAGGACTCAGTAGATCAGAAGGGGGGAGCATCGCAAGTCCCCTCGTGTTTTTGACAGTTCTGGTCCTGAGCCCTGCGCTGTAGCACGTACCAGGTCTAGCTTGCTGGCTTGAGAGGCTGCTGTGCCGTCGAAAGCCTAAACCCAAACGTGTCCTGGTTGCCAATTTGGCTCGAGACATGGAACACTGACTCAGTTTTTCAAACCACAGCATCGCGTAGACGCAGGCCAAGGTCATGTAGGCCTGCCCGCATAATCATCAGTGTAAGAGCTTCCGGAACATGCACCAAAAAGCTATGGAAAGCGTGCAAGACAAGTTTCCTCACTTTAGCTGACCCATGTCCTATGGTGTGGTCTCAGGTTGGGATGACCTTCTCGGCGATGCGAGGGGCAACTTGCCCCTGGCACAGTCCGCAAGCACGAAGCTGAAGGGCCTGAGCTGCCCGGCCCTATCAAAAGCATCAGAACCTGGGTAGCCCTTGGGACATGTCCTATTTTCACTTATTGGGTTTAAGAGGGTTTTGGGTTTCGGCATCTTTTCTGATGGTTTTAGGGGGCCATCCGAGGAACTCTTGTGGCGTGCCTCCGACGCTTCGCGACTGGCACATGTGTCCGAAGCGCTGGAGATTCCCGAGGAAGGCGAAAAGGTTGTCCAGAAATTGCTTACGCAAGGTGATGTTGCGACCAAGCAAGACAAGGCTGCGGCACATGGCGTGGTGGAAACTGCCCAGCTGGGTGCTTCTCGTGCCTCTGCACGTGCCGGCTTGCTGGCGATGACTGCCGCCAATGGCCGTACAGTTCGACTTGTGCGTCTGGTGCCAAGGGAAGAGCCAGGAATCCCAACTGGTGAGGCACTTCTGGAAGCCCAGGTTGATTCCGGAATTGCCTCGTCGGCGTCATCTTCGCCTCAAGGTGCTCCTCCGCTGCTGCGGCCGTCCATCGCCGATGGCAAGGGCATCCTCGAGAAGTATTGCGAAGTTGCACAGTCATGTTTTGGCACGGATGGAGCTGAGACTTTTGAACTTCTTAAGGCCCTCTTCGATTGCAGAGGCAAGCGAGCGGTGATGCACCGACTCAGCGCCTGGCTTGCGCGGGTCAACAGGAGAACAGTGGCCAAGCACTTGCACACGTCTGCCGCAGAAGAGCGAACAATGAGGCTGCTTTCTGGCGCAGCGCCTTTCAATCCTCGTGGATTGGAGGCCGCCTTTCACCATCTGACAGCCAACTCCCCGAGGCAAGCTCTGCGTGCACTGCAACAAGCTGGAGGCGGAGGGCCTCATTTCGATCGGTTGGCAGCCATCTTGGCAGCTTGTGGCGGTTCTGCAGTTCCTGGTCGCGAACAGCGGCATTGGCTTCGGCGGCAGGTGGAGGAATGGAGGCGACAAAGAGTGCCTGATCTCATGGGGCCAGGGTTGTGGCGTCTATACCGCTTACTGGCGAGTGACATGCAGGTGGCTTGTGATGCGCTGGACTGGCGCACTGCGTTTGGCGTGTTCTTGTGGTATGGCCAGACGGTGGATGAGGAAGCCGGTGAGGACGTTGGAGACTGCGAACATGCCTTGGAGCGTCTCGTCCAAGCATTTGTCAATGTGAAACAGGTGCGCTCCTCCAGAATCCGTCCGGTGCCGGAGTATGCCCTCGAAGCCAGTTGTGAGCAGAGGATGCAGCACTGTGGACCGGATCTACATTTCACAGCTTCAAAAGATGAGCCTGTGTCCTTGCAATTCAAAGCGATTCAAGTCGCCGGCTCCATTGGCACCGGCGCCTATGACGTAAGTCATTTTGATTACATGACACATTCGAAGAGTCCCCAGGACGTTGCGCTGTCATGGCACTTTGTGGTTGTGCTGCTGATGTTGCTTGGCGAGGGTGTTGGCGCAATTCATGCTGACAGCAGTTCCTTCCAAAGGTTGACACAGCAGTATGCGCAGCTGCTGGAGCAGCAAGGCAAGGATGAATGGGCAGTGTACGTGGCTCATTTTGTGAGCGACCATCGAGCACGTGCTGCAATGATCAGGCGCTTGCTGATAAGCCAAGCAAAGGCAGCTCAATGGGACTTTGGCAAGGAGGCTACCTTGCCCTGGCCAAGCCTACCTTCGGGTTGGTTGTGGCACGCCAGAGCTCTTGCCTGCGAGCAGGTTCTCGATTGGTGCGGCGCACTGACATGCTGGCAACAATGTGGTGGTGAAGAGGCCCGAGCTGTTACCCTTGCTTGTGGGTATTTGCTTGGTCCAGCACTTTTGGGACATGCATCTTCGCCTTACAAGAGGGGTGCAGTCGATGCCATCCAGCTGTCGCCCATGAACCCGGCCGCTCGGTGGTTGCACAGATCTCTCGAGGATCTAAGTACTGCCATGGGCAGCAATGACATTCTCTGGGCAGATGTCGGCCGGGAATCCTTGGGAGTCTTGCGAAGATGGGCGCAAGAAGGCCCTGCTCGCTTTGACCCTGCCACTTTGGTGCATCTTCATTGGCGTTGTGAGCGCTTGCGACAAGGCATGCTCGGGCTGCCATGCTGAGCTGCGTTCTCTATGAAAAGAAAACGAATATCCTATGCAAGTCCTTATGACAAGAGCTTCCACCGCGCTCCTATCCAACGTGTTCCAAACCCTCCCAATGTTTGTATCCCTACGTGAAGACATCCGGCTCTTTGCGGCGGCTGGCGCCAAAACTTCTTCCCATTCCCAGCTTCAGAGCCCTGCCCCCATACTCTCAGTAACCCTGAAGCCGAAAGATCCGGCGCGCGCCTCCATGAACATCATGAAAGCTAGAGTTCTGTGGGACGTCGGTATCCAGAGAATCCCCAAAACCCGAGAGATACGCCGAAACCCTTGTATATTATGTTATATCACATTAAATTTGTTTGATATTATGTTATATCATATTATATATTATCTTATATTCTATTCTATCACAGATTATAAAACCTGTCATATTCTAGTATGTCCTATTTTTTATTATATCATATTACATTGTATTATATGTATATATATATATATATATATTATCCGTGAGGCCGCCTGCGCAGGGATGATTGGCTGCGTGAGCTTGAGCCACTGCAGGAGCGTTAAGGGTTCATAGGGTTTATCGGGTTTATAGGTTTTATAGGGTTTACAGGGTTTATAGGGTTTACAGGGTTTGTAGGGTTTACAGGGTTTGTAGGGTTTACAGGGTTTATAGGGTTTTAGGGGACAGCTTCGGGGACAAAGATTTCTGGCTGCAAGACTTACTGATCCCAGGTTCCACGGAAGGCCCTGTATTCGCTTTTCCGGGGTATTGGAACCCTAAGCCCTACCCTAAACCCTCAACCCTGAACCCTAAACCCTAAAAGGGATACTGGAGAACCCATGGGTTTAAAGGTGAAGTTTGCTTGAGTTGGGGAGGTTTTAAGTTCGGGTCCCTTCACAAGGCAAGCTGAGACGAGGTTTCATGCTCATGAAAGGGGGTCTAGGGCCCCTAAACCCTAAACCCTAAACCCTACATCCAGGGCCAAACCCGACTGGTGAGGACCAGATCGAAGACATTGGCCCCTCGCTGGGCAAGTTCTTCACCATGATACAGGCAGAAGTTGCCACGTGTGATAGGGTTTGGGGTTTAGGGTTTAGGGTTTAGGGTTTCGGGGGTTTCGGGTCTAGGGTCTAGGGTCTAGGGTTTAGGGTTTAGGGTTTAGGGTTTAGGGTTTAGGGAAGGGATAGGCTGTTGTGACCAGACTGTTGACCACGGACTTTGGTTAGGTTCGCATGTTGGCCGCATGAGGACCTCATACGGGATCAGTGCTCCTCAACGACTGGGTTCTGAGACTAGTAACAATGGGATGCCTGTGCTAGATCTTCCGATGTTTGGAGTTGTTTCGTGGGTTCCCAATCCTCCCTAAACCCTACACCCTAAACCCTAAACCCTAAACCCTAAACCCTAAACCCCATAAAGTTGATAAACGTTGAACCAGACTTCCGGCTGCCCCATGCGGGGATTCTGCTCGCTTCGCGCACCCCCCGCCCCCTTGTTTGGGAGCACCCTTCTGAGTCGGAATAGGGTTTAGGGCTTAGGGTTTAGGGTTTAGGGTTTAGGGTTTAGGGTTTAGGGCCTTACAGCGCTGATCTGTGTAGCTATTTATCATAGAACGACATTTTCACATTCTGACAGTTTAGTATTTTATTTTTATCATTAAGTTGGAAGTTCACGGTGTGCTCACTGCGAGGCAAGTCATAGCGGTGATGTGACCAGATGTGATCTAGGGGTAGCTGCCCTGCAGTACTCGAGGCATGCGCTTACTTGAACTACAGGGAGCATGAATTGGTTTAGGGTTTAGGGTTCAAGATTTACGTTTTACGGTTTAGAGTTTAGGTGCCTTCGGACCTGTGAGGGTGGGAGCAGATTTGCCGTCACGAAACAGGCGGTGGGCACTGCGCGTGTCGCGGACGTGGTGACGTGCGATGACTGGCGGCCTTGCTTGCAGTCAAAGACTCCTAAGTAAAGGTGTATTCCTTTGGACGGTTTCCATAATCTGTGTAAGAAATGTTCCGCGCACGGTCGCCTTGAGGCCTAGACTAGCTTGCTAAAGGAGTATTGGGGTGTCTGAGGACAAGCCGTAGTCGACCAAAACTACCATAAACTCGGGCTGTCTTTTGCATCAGAAGAACATATTGCCCAAGCCTTGGGCTAATGAGGAGCAATGCGGCATTTCCCATCAGCTCCTACATACTCCCAACTGGATTCCTAGCAGCTCCACTGATAAATACTGCGAAAAGCCAAGACTTGACTGCCACTCTTTCCCATGCACATCGTGCGGCAACCCCAGGGAACGTTAAGAGAGCGCTCAAGGGGGAGGCTGAGGTGGGCTCAACAATTAAAGGGGCTTGAGGGCTCGCTTGAGTCGACGAATGCAAAAGAGTGAGTGTGGAGCTTGTACCCCAACTACCTAAACCTCCAGTCCCTAAGCCCTATGTACCTTCAACAACCTCGTGTCCCTAAGCCCTACGTACCTTCACTCCCCAACCCCTGACCCTTAGACCCCCTCCCGGGGATGCAGTGTCTGTCAGAAGCTGGGTAGCCTCTCAAGGCTGGTTTCCGAAATTGGGGTATATACCTTTCTTGGGGCCCACAAGGGAATCCTACTATTTAGGGGTCTATTTTGGGGATCCCCTATTTTCGTAAACCCCAAAATATGTAGGGTGTTGAAGTAGAATAAAGAGGACCCGACAAGGGATCAGAAATGTAGGGACCCGACCAGATGATGCCCAAATGGCCACTTCTCTACATAATCGTCCCTTTTGGGGCGGGGGGGGGGGGGGGGGTTACTTTTTTTTAAGGCGGCCGCTAGTAAGGTATCCGGTATCCACCAAGGGACCACTCCTAAAACTTATATAAACCGTATTCTCTAAACATCTTTTGGAGAACTCACCAGGCGGTTTCCGAAATTGGGGTCCTTTTTTATGTGGGGATCCCATTATTTGGGGGGGTCTACTTTAGGGATCCCCGGTTTCGTAAACCCCCCCACCAAGTCGAGGCACAGCTTCTTCTTCCAGTGCTTGGCCGGTAGCCATGCGGAGAGGCTCCTCGACCAGGCGCCCCAGCTGGGTGTTAGCCCCAAACTTCCCCAAACCCTAAACCCTAAGACCCTAAACCCTAGCCCTAAACCCCAAACCCCAAAACCGAAACTTACCCTAAACCCTAAACCCCCTAACTGCCCAAGCCGCCACACACGGTTTCCCCCAAAGGCTCTCCAAGCCTTTTGTAAGCCCCTGAACACCTGTGACCCTGATGCTGGTTGTGGGTTGCAGGGTTTTGGGTTTTAGGATTGAGGGTTGCAAGGCTGATTTCTCAGGGCGACCTCCAACTCATTGCTCGCGAAGCTTCAGAAAGTACGGATCCTGACTGAGGGGGAGGCTTGCTCAAAATTTCCCGAACCTGAGCATACAAGAACAAGTTGAAGCAAGAGATGAGCTCCTCATAGGTCACGTCACAAGCCCCTGAGGCCCTCAACTAAACCCTAAACCCTGAACCCTAAACCTAGACCCTGAACCCTGAACCCTGAACCCTCAACCCTCAACCCTCAACCCTCAACCCTGAACCCTGAACCCTCAACCCTCAACCCTCAACCCTCAACCCTCCCCGGCGCCTTACTGCAGCCTTGGAGGACCTCGGCCCGCGCCGCCATTCCTGTCCGCCACGACCACGCCCGCCAACGCTGGCGACGGCCGACTGTGGGAAGGACGCCCTAAACATGCAATGTAAGGGGTCGGAGTAATGACTGATCATATTCCCTTATGCTCCCTCTATAGATGTACCAAAATATCCCCCCTAAAAACCCTATAGTTTAATCATTCAGGCTCCTACATTATAGAGGTGCCGGTCTGCGCGTTCACTTGCTGCAAACTGCTGCTGTCATGGGCGCTCATCTCTCACTTACTGGAACGTATCTGAGTGCAGGGATGTGGAAAGCCTGAACCACAAGCAGAGCAAGCCAATGCTGGCAGATTTTGGAGGCTTAAGCTAGGATGCAGGGTGATGAGATTTGGTAGTTGATGCATCGGCAGCAGCCGCCCTGGACAGACGCAAGGCCTAAACCACAATAAAGAGCTCCCTAAACCCTAAACCCGACTAAACCCTAAACCCAAAGTTCAGATTCTTCCAGAACAACGATGGAACCTGCAGTCGAGCTCCCGTTGTCGAGCCACGTTTCGAAGCTTCTTCGAAGTAGAGAGGGACGTAGGAGCTGTCCATTTGGTTTCTACAGCTCCTTGAGTGACCAGTACAGTAGTTCTACACTGCTCTGCACAACAAGAGGCAGTTTAGGGCTTAGGTTTTCGGTTGCAGGGTTTAGGGTTTAGGGTTTAGGGTTTCGGGTTTAGGGTTTCGGTCATCTGAGGAATTCGGGCGCTACGAAGTCCACCCTTCCTGGCGGGAAGTTCGGCCTTGTTTCTTCCCAACTCAGGGGTGAACATATCCCTTTCTTCTTTTCCCTTCCTTCCACCAGTTGTCATCGAATCCGCGCCATGCCACCACCTCCCTGAACCCTAAACCCTAAACCCTAAACCCTAAACCCTAAACCCTAAACCCTAAACCCTAAACCCTAAACCCTAAACCCTAAACCCTAAACCCTAAACCCTAAACCCTAAACCCTACACCCTGAACCCTAAACCCTAAACCCTGAACCCGAAAGTCGCCCACGTCCTCTAAGCCTCGCGCGAGCAGGAACAGCGGAGTCCAGGCCGACTTGCGCGCAGCAGCGATTTCCCTTGCCAAGCTGATGAAACCACTATAGGGGTTTAGGGTTTAGGGTTTAGGGTTTAGGGTTTAGGGTTTTTAGGGTTTAGGGTTCGGGGAGCAGACTGCCATAATATGGGGGCTTCCGAAAACAGGGGTACCCTCTTTGGGGGGTCACTTTAAGGGGCTTCTACTTTATTTCGGTGTGTACAAGGGTTACCCCTATTTTACAAAAATGCCCATTCTGGGTACAGACCCTAAACTCAACCGGGTCTGGGGTTCAGAACTCCTAGGATTTGGATGCCCTGCCGAACCCGTAAATGGATGTAAGTCGTTCTGAGCTAGGTAAGTTAGGTAACTTGGTATCATGACATTCACTTACAAGGAGGATGCCCCCCCAAAAAGGGGGCACCTAAGTCAAAACAAGTCGCAGACAGGCCTCAACCAAAACCAGGAGAACAGCGGTTGGACTTCAGGAGCTTCGGAACTCACTGCGAGTCCTCAGAGTCGAGCGTCTTTGTTGAGAGAGGACGCGCTTCTGTAGGAGCAGGAGTTCGCAGACCCTCAACTCCTAAACCCTCTGAGGGCATTTCCCCAAAATAGGGGTGCCCTTAAGCTACCCCCAAAATGGTAGCATCCTCAAAGAACCCCCAAAAGGGTACCCCTATTTTCGGAAACCCCTATATCCCTCACCCTCACCCTGGCAGTCGTTCATCCTGGGTTGCCTTCACAAATCTCAGAGCTTTGTCTCCTCCTGATGATTCCCCCTTTTGTTCCGGAGTGTCTGGGTTAGGTTCCCTTTAAAACAAGCCCCATGAACCCCAACAAGTTTCCAATTGTCTTTCCCGTAAGGGTCTGCAGAGTTTAGGGTTTGGGGTTTGGGGTTGTTTTTGTTGGGATGTTCCCCATTGCACTAGCAGTTAGGAAAAGGGGGAACATCCCAAGTTATTTTCCCCGAGCTTTTCAAGCTGAGGGCTCCTTGAGTATACATCGGGTATGGGATGAACATGGATGAACCGCAACTCGCGCATCAAACCCTCTCTCGCCTCCAGGCTCGAACGAGCTTAAGGTCCTGATGTCCCCCGAGCAGGCAGCTAGAATCTTCGGAACATCGGGGCGTTTCAGGGTGCCCCATATGGGGCTTGATCTAAAGTCCCTTCTGTGAAATTATTTAGGGTCCCTACTGGATCCTATAGGCTTATAAGGGAGACGTAGGGCAACTTTGGGAGGAGCAGGTGTTTTGATCAACTCCTTCCCGCATACCCTTAAAACCTGAAGCCGAAGGCCCCTTCCACTCCAAAAGGAGCGATCTAAGGGTTTGCGGGCTGCGGAAACCCAGCCTCAGCAAGGGTTTGTGGCATCGGGTGTCTAAGGGTTGAGGGAAAGATTTAGGGTAGGAGGGAGCCGAAACTGAGAGACGGCAACCTAAATTTAAGGGTTGTTACGGGGTTCTCTCCTTGCCCGCCCCTATCCGGCCGTATCCTCCCCCCCCCACCCCACAATGGTATCCCCCCCCAAACCCCAAACCTCTCCCCTAAAACCTTAAACCAACCTTAAACCTCACACCCTTAACACAAACCGTAAACCTTCAACCCCAAACGCCAACCCCCCATTCACAGCACAGGCAGGGGTTGCTAACCCTTAAACTCTAAACTTATGTAAACCTTGAACCTTAAACCCTAAACCGTAACCCCCCAACCACACTCACACCACAAGGGGGGCGGGGGGGGGGGTGCGGCCGGTCTCTTAAACCTTCAGCCCCAAAATCCAAAAACCCCAACCCCCCAAAAGCGTGGGGGTGGATCCAAGGGAGGATGCGGGGGGCGGGGATACCATGGGGGGTGGGGGTGCGGAGGGGTGGCAGCCCCAGACTCTCGGGCTCAGGGGTTCAGGGGGTCCGCGGTTGAAGGTGCATACTGTAGCTTAGTAGCTGAATGAGTGCCCTTTACACTTTTTGCGATAAGATAACCCCATATAGAGCTGAAAGCGTACACCTGAAAGTGTGCACTTTTTGGGGGGCTTCTGAACTCAGTAACTGAGGTAGGGTGTAGGGCGTCACGGGGTTTTACTGGCCTTGTCAGCAGGTGCAATTGGAGCTGAAGAGGCTTCCCAGAGCCTGCACGTTGGGGAGTTCAGGGGGCGGAGTGCGGAAGGACTTCAGAAAGAGCTCGACTGGAGTCCCTGAGTAGTTGTTGGGGCTGGGGTGGGTGTGTGGGGGTTCGGACAGGATCGTGCTTTGGGGGGCGGAAGGTTTGAGGGTTTGTGGGTGGTTGCGTTGTTCTGACGGATCTGGGAATCTGCCCGAAACCCCGAAGACGAAGGCAGAATGTCGACCCTCGACCGTTGCTTCTCAAGAGCCAACATGAAGGCCCAGAACCCGAGCCGACCTTACAGTACCCTTATACTAACAGTCAGTAATAGGGAGTATAGTAACCCATATTTGAATCCCTATTGAGGACTGCTGGTATAAGGGGGAACATCCCAAACTCTAGTGCCCGACGGGGCAGCTGCCTAGCGCTTGGGTTTCGGAGGGAGGGGTGAGGGGTACGTTGCCGGAGGCGTTACTCTTCCACTGGCTGCTGCTCGCTCCACTTGACTCACTTGAGTCAATTGAGGCCTCCGCCGCGCTGTGTCTCCGCACATGGAAGCCATTGATTCTGCAACGCCTCAACTTGCAGTTCAGACCCGGAAGGGAACCCTTGAAGGTTTGGAGATTGAGCCACACAGACTCCAACACCCCCGCACCTCTGTGGGGACATATTTGAGTGTGGTGGATCTGATCACACACGCCAAATCATGTCTGATAGCGGGTGACCTGCAGGGTTGCCAACTGCTGAAGATTCTCAAGACTCAAGCTTTACTGTAAACCTTTAGGTCACTGGGCTCAAACACCCCTAAACGCCAAACCCTCGCGTGTTGGCCAAAAGCTTCACAGTGCAGTGCATAGCTGGCATAGCTGCGCAGGGGCTTTTCACCAAACGCGCAAAAGAAACTCTGTCCACACACCCGTTGTTCCAGCGCCAGGGTTTCGCAGCATGGCTACAATTGCTCGGCCCCTCTCGCCGAGTTGGCTGCCCAAGGCCGGCCGAGGAGAAGTTGTCCGATTTCGGGCGCAGGGCTTCCGGGCTTGATTCCTAGGTCGCCATGGTGCCTTAGTCTGGGTCGGGGTGTGGTGTCGGCAGTGATGACAGGATCTGAGAGTCGCAACCTTCTGAAAAAGGGACTATTTACAAGATCGGCGTACAGCTCTACAAGCCGTTGAGATCTTGTGTGTTGAGTTTGCCCTTTATCATAACTTGAGGGGCTTGCCTGGGCCACCAATCGCCTGCGACATCCCGGGGGTTGCACTTGTACATATATATATATGTATGTATGTATGTATGTATGTATGTATGTATGTATGTATGTATGTATGTATGTATGTATGCATGTGTATATATATATACACATATACATTGCTGTTGTTTGGTCATTTTATTCGACATATGTATATGTGCTGATATAGGTGTATGTGCATACATACACATATATATATATATACATATATGCATATGCATGCATGCATACATACATACATACACATATACATATACATATAAAGGCTGCAACTCGCCTAGGGTCTCTTGCGCTTTGGGGGTCGCAGGCGAGGTTCGGGTTGCTCTCATCTCAAGCCGATGTGCAGGCCCTCCGCAAGTCTGAAGGGCGTCGCCTTCCGCCACCTGCGCCTCACTGCTGAAAGGACGATGACAAAAGACATCGAACAGCAAGCCATCCAAGACCCTAAGAGGCCCTGTAAACCTGGAATCAAAACCCCCGCTGTGAACCCGAAGTTGTGTGGTCTTGGGGATTCTCTCTTCCCGAGCTGCTCGGGCTTGCTCAGAGGCCACTGATGCACGCAGATGCGTCGACCCAAACTCATCACTTTCACGAGTTTGCATTGTTTTGGGTTTGGGATTTGAAAGGTTCGGCAATTCGCCATGTCCAGAAGTCAAAGGCAATTCGTCATCAGGAGGGGTGAACAGACAGCCAGCTCAGGCCCGCACAACAACGGCAACCCACACAGTGGGCTCCAAACTGAATTCTCCCCCCCTCCCCCTCCCTCCCACCCGGCCTCCGAACCCACAAGACCTAAACGCCAAGCAAGCCCTGGTGGTTCGCCAGTCTCACCACAATGCAAGGGCCAAGCCTTCGCTGGCATGCGGGCCCTGTATGACCAGCGCTTGTAATCAAGGCGCATCGGAAAGCCTGGCGCTGGAGGCCCCCTTGGAGCCTAAACACGAACTCTAAACCCTAAATGGGTTTGTGTTTTTTTGGGGGGCTCAGGTTTCAGAATGGCACACGGGTTGCACACCCGCGAAACATACCCCGTAACGTAACATACCCCCGAAATTGCAGGGAAAGTAGCTCCTGATGCCGCGAAACATACCCGAAACATACCCCCGAAACATACCCCGAAACATACCCCGAAACATACCCGCGAAACATTCCCCGACCCCAACACGTGTCACGCGCCTCCCCATTAAAATACAAACCCAAATAGACCCAAATCCTAAACCCTAAACCCTAAACCCTAAACCCTAAGCCCTAAGCCCTAAGCCCTAAGCCCTAAGCCCTAGGCCCTAGGCCCTAGGCCCTAAGCCCTAAGCCCTAAAGCCCAAGCCCCGAAGCTCCATACTCCCGTTTCTCAGCGTTGGGGCCCTTGCCGTAGCTCGGAGACTCGGCGTTCGGCCAGGCTCCCTCGTAGTAGGGGGCTCCAGAGCCAGCGTTTGGGTTTAGGGTTCAGGGTTGAAGATTTAGGGTTTAGGGTTTAGGGTTTAGGATTTAGGGCCTTTAGGGTTTAGGGCTTTTAGGGTTTAGGGCCTTTCGGGTTCAGGGCCTTTCGGGTTTAGGGCCTTTCGGGTTTAGGGCCTTTTAGGGTTTGGCCTTTAGGGTTTAGGGCCTTTAGGCTTTAGGGCCTTTAGGGTTTAGGGCTGAGGTAGATTCAGCGGACCTAAACCCTGAGCCAGGCAGATTTGTGGCAGGTCTTGCGAAGTTGGCAAAGACACCTTGATTCCGCATCGCAAGAGTACTCTTTAGACTCTTTGGTACTCGGTGGGCGGAAGTTGATAGGGCTTGCTTGGGCTGTAGGGGTTGCTGGTCCGGCACGAAAGAAAGCTGAGCTCTACCGCAAACCGTGACCCACTAATGGAGCGTGATGTATGCTCTGGAGTCCTAGCTCCACGCGCCACCGCCACGTGTCAACACACGTTCGGCCAAAGCATGCGCAAAAGGAGCCTGCGGCAAACCAATGCCGAAAGTCGGAGATAAAAGTCCTTGCGGGCAGGTGGTCGGGTCCTGTATGCAGACTCTGCTCAAACATAAACCCCTCCTAAACCCTTCGGCAAGTGAGAGGCAACACGGAGCCCAAATAGCTGCAAAGATCACCGCTATTTGCGTAAGTCAGTATCTTTGTGCCGGAGCCTGGGCCAGGTAGCCCAGAGTGAAATTCCGCGCTTGCGGACTATAAACCCTAAACCCTAAACCCTAAACCCTGCAGCCCAACTTCTCCAAGCCCGAAACCCTTTGGGTTTAGAGGTTGGAGGGCAGAAGCTGGCAAGACTGTCAGCTTGCGGCCTTTTGGGGATTTCCGAAAATGGTGGTACCCTTTTCGGGGGGTTCCTTTAAGGGGATTCTATTCTGTTTGGGGCATTACAAGGGTACCCCTATTTTGGGAGGAAAAAACCTTTTGTTCCAGATGATCTCATAGCAAGTGGAACTTGGCCGCTAAGTCTGTGCCTGTTGACATCAGACGCGTTCGGACCACAGGAAAAATTACTGTCGTGCTCTTCTCTGGAAACTAGTACACTACTATTTGCTTAAGAACCCCAAAAGAATAAAAGAACAACAATCCCTATATTACAGTAGTACAAGAAGACCTGTCAGAAGCCACTGCCAATCCCGAGCCCAGACCCTCCCCCAACATCCGGCTTCGCGGTGAGTTGAGAGGAGAAGTCGAAGCGATGGTACGAGTTCCTCACGTCGCTCTTCGCCATCCTGGGGGGGTTGCTTGGCCATTGTATTCGTATCATCAGCGTGAGGGTGGTTGCCCTAAACCCTAAACCCTAAACCCTAAACCCTAAACCCTAAACCCTAAACCCTAAACCCTAAACCCTAAACCCTAAACCCTAAACCCTAAACCAGGATGGTTGTGTCAAGAGCACTCACAGAGGCGCCGAAAAAGCTCGGCATGTTGGGTCGCCCAGGACATTTACCATCGTCGAGCTCACCAGCGGAGCTGTGGAAACCGTCCGGAACTCTTAGGGTTTAGGGTTTTGGGTTTAGGGTTTACGGTTTAGGGCTTGCTGCAGCTGTATTATTGTTATTGTTGCTGCTAATCTTCATATACTTGCAATGTAGCATTGACGGGCTTGATGATCGGTTGATCGGTTGGGCGCATCTACTTTTTTGATCGTCCCAAACTATTCGGAGCACCCCTTCCGGGTACGGCGCAATATATGTCTTTTCTTTCGTGTAGAATGCGGACCTTCAAATTGAGCTTACCTGGCTAGTTTGTCTTCGGCCCACAAGAACTGTACAAGAACTTGCCTTTCAAGCGCCCGACGCCCAAAATTTCGCTGGACTCACAACAGCCAAACTTGTAATCTTCGCGGGCCAGCATGATCTCATCCTCGGTGAGGTACCCAACGAACCCCAGGTCTCCGTCCATTCCACCTCGGGGATGTTCAAGTTCCCCTTCATACTAACAGTACTTAATCGGAAGTTTCGTACCCGGTATTATCATCCCGTTTAAGGACTGTTCAGAACTTATAAGGGGGAACTTCTCAAATTCCACTTTTCAAGCACCTACAGCTGGCTTGCAAGGTTTTTCTGCTGGGTTCTCCACGGGCACAGGGATGAGGGGTCCTTAGACAGCATGCTCTCTGGCGCTTGGGCTTCGCAGGGTTTAGGGTTTAGGGTTTAGGGTTTAGGGTTTAGGGTTTAGGGTTTAGGGTTTAGGGCCTTCTGGTGATGTGGCTTAGCTTGGAAAGCCCTGAGCAACTCAGCCCTGATCTGCTCAGGTCGGTACGGCGCTGAAAGACACGTTGGGCAAGAAGAACTAGGGGGGGGGGGTGATCTCACTCGGCAGCTACCCCAGAGAGCTTCTCACCTCTTACCTAAACCCTGAACCCTAAACCCTAAACCCTAAGCCTTTCGACAACACACCCTAAATCCTGGAAATGATCCCGTCAATTCTAACATGGAGCTAGGGTTCCAGTAAAACCTGTGCAATCAACATGGGAAGTTTAGGGTTTGGGGTTTCGGGTTTAGGGTTTAGGGTTTAGGGGGAATTCCCTAAACCCCAAACCGGAAAAAAGGTTGTTCAGACCTACAGTCGCACTTGTAGCCCCTCTCATGCCTAGATTCAATTTCAGCGACTTCTATTGTCCTAGGTACCCTAAACCCTAAACCCTAAACCCTCAACCCTAAACCCTAAACCCTAATCCCTACACCCTACACCCTACACCCTACGCCCGCCACCCTACACCCTACACCCTAAACCCTAACTAAACCGCAGGGTTTGAGGGTTTGGGGTTTGAGGGATTCGGGATTGTTCACGGCTGCTTGGTGTCCAACCAGCATCTCTCGCGGCTGTGGGTCTTTGCACATGAGCCCCAAGTCCTCAGCAACCCTAAACCCTAAACCCCCAAACCCCTAAACCCTAAACCCCTAAACCCTAAACCCCTAAACCCCTAAACCCCTAAACTCCTAAACTCCCTAAACCCTAAACCCCTAAACCCCTAAACCCTAAACCCTTATGAACTTGGGGGGTCTTCTTGGGAAGCTGCTGCGAGTCTCACGAACGGCGCGGAGCGAAGTGAAGCTGCGCAGGCTCAGGGTTTAGGGATATAAGGAGGGACCCCTAGAAGGGACCCTTAATCTCATTCCCCTATGATACTTACCCACTCTATATATATGTATATACAAATATATACATATATATATATACACATATATATATAGGTATGCCTTATATAGTCCCTATTTGCCGAAGTAGCCCCTACAAGACCTCTAAGGTCTCCCACCTTTAGGCCCTTGAATTTCGGATCTAGAAGTCGGGTGAAAAGCGTCTCGGTTCCCTGTGCCGTTCGTGACAGTGAGCCTGCGATGAAACTGGCAGCTGCCTTGACAGGATTTGTTCTGAGAATTTCTCAGAGCTTGGAAAAAGCAAGAGTTTGGGTTGAGTTCTTAGGCTGGGCTTAGGATCTTAGCTGATGGAGTTTTGCAAAACAAGGAAGGAAGGCTTCTAGAAGAGAAGGTCGGGGCAGCCTGCTGCGGTCTAATGAGACCGGCCGCGAAGTGGATCCCCACCACGGCCCACAGGAGGTGCGTCGCAACACTCATCCAGCAGCCTACATAAGGACCAATACGATCCCCATAATTAAAAAACTAAACTGAAACAGCCCCGTACAGGACTTGCATGTCCATCCCCCGACGCTCTGGGCGATCATTCCCTGAAGATCTTGGCGTTAGGTGTTGCAAGCATGTTCGAGAAAGGAATTGAAAACCCAGCGGCCCTAAACCTAAACCCTAAAGCCTACAGCCGTAACAACTTGTTACCCTTCCAAAGTTGGCCGAGAGCTGCGGCGCATCCTGCTGAGGAGTTGTCTTTTGCCCCTTCCTTATGCCCGTGTAGCCGCGAACGCAGAGGAGTGTATGGTCTTAGGGTTGAAAAGTTTAGGGCTGGAGGGTTTGCAACGATGCCAACCGCAACAGCCCATAGCGCCATAGAGGTCTATCAGGGCCGGGTCGAGCCGGAAGTCCCTAAAATGCCTACATAGCTTTCCCTGCAATTAGGGTTTGCGATGGGGGTTTCCGTGAAGAAGCCCGAAATCTTTTCTGTTCGCCCGACCTCTCGATGGCGTCGCACCCTCGCTCGCCGGGATCAACCATGCCGCGAAAGGGTAGGCAAAATATTGCTCGCGCAGTGCAGCTGGTATAACTGGTTTCCCCGGCACGGTTACTGACAAGTAGTGAGCATCGTCATCTTGCTGGGGTGCCGACGGCCTCGCTGAGCTCTCGGTCGCTAGGGGGCGCTGCCCAGAAAAACTTTGTTCGGCCCTTGCGGGCTCCCACGACAGCGAGCGGATGAAAAGGTTGCCGGCCTGCTGGTATTGGAAAGTGCTTGTCCGGTGGTTGCCATGGTCCGAGAAGGGGAAAGGAGGTGGAGAGGATTTGGCTGGGACCAATTTTTCGACAGCACGAAATTGTGAGTCAGAAGCGAAGCAGCTGCCACGACAGCAGAAAAAGCGTTATGGCTGTATGTGTTCACGGTCACCTCATCATTACCACGCCGCACTGATGGATTTGCCTCCTTCTCCTCCCTGACCCACACCTTGCACATGCCTTTAGGGTTTAGGGTTGAGGGTTGACTGTAATTTCAGAAGGCTCCAAAGGCGCAGGTTTCAGGGCTGAGAATGTGGTCCAAGTTTATAGGTTTAGATGCTGCTTCCTCGGCTGCAAGCATTTTGGCCACAGACAGACCGTCCGGCCCGCAAACCGCCTCCTGAGACAGAGGCCGCCCAGATTATCAGGGAGTTCAAGGATGGAGCGGGTTCATGAAATTTAGGGATACGTGGAAGTAATTCTTCATTTTTGGGTGCTTTTATTCCTCAAAACAGCTGAAAACTGTGGTTTTTTGCTGGGGTTCCAAGTTCAGTTGTCGAAAAGGGTTCGCAAAATCTGGCGCGTGCAGGCGACCGCCGCAGTGGGGTATCCCAGAGAGATGAGCTGGAGAGACTTGGCGGCCCTGGCACCTCCTCCTCCTCCTCCAGGTTGATTCTCTGAGGTTGCGATGTGGGAGTTTATGATTATAAAGGACCCCCATACTACTGTAGACCCCCAAATGGCAGGATCCTCTCATAGCAAGGACCCCAATACCCCAGTATCGCAAACCCCCATGTTCATGTCAAGCTGCTGTAAGTCGACCCCCGCATCAACCGACTCCTGACTTAAGAACCCCATCCTGTGGATGAGACGTTCCAGAGTGCCACTGTGCTTTTAAAACGCAAAATGACTTGCTTGCAGCTTCTTGGTTTGGATAAAAACTCAGATACTTGCGAGGTCATGCCCCACTCCCGGCCACACCTCGCCCTAAGTACTGGGGATCTTATGGCCCTGCACCCTAAACCCTAAACCTTACACCTTAAACCCTACTGTTCATGCAGCTGATTTGAAGTGGCCATCCTTGAACACCTGCTCGAAAGCTTGAGGCAACAAGCGATCCTGGGACGATGACTGGAAGGGCAATAGCTGGAAGGCCTCCAGCACTCTTGGGATGTTCAGCCCCCCAACCCCTAAACCCTACACCCCAATTCTACGCTCTTTGAGGTTCAACTGAGGTTCAAAGGTTCCGGGCCGAGGGCACAGCAGGAACTTGGAGTTAGTCCTAGATCTCGTGCAGGGTGAAAGCCAGTCTGCTAGTGCCGTCCAAGGCCCTTCCAGAATGGCTGTGGTGCTGATGGGAAAAGGATGTAAGTCAAGCCCCTACAACGTCATGTACCTCCTCTCATGTCTCAAGCAATGCCAGGATGACGGGTACAAGAGCAAAGGCCCGTGGGACTGCCTGCGTCTGGGGGCATGTTCCCAAGCGTGCCCACGGAAGTGAGGGCACTGCATCGTATTGGCCTAGGGTTTACCGATGTTGACAGAACTTGTGCTTTGTGGTGCATATGCCTGATGACGAACTAGGAGAACGCGTCATGAAAGATCGCTTGGATCGTTTCCCTGGCACTGAAGCACATACATGCTCCAATCCATAACTTGCATCGTTTTGGCAGGGCGGGTTTTCTCTCAAGAGGGCCAAGTTAAGAAAAGAGACCTTCCAGCACAGCAAAAATGGGATTTTTATAAAAACCCTCGGTTTTTTTAATAAAAACAGAATCCCTCCTATTTGAAAGGTGCCTACTGGGGCGAGAAGAGGCGCCGTTTCTTTTCTTTTTTCGCGGGCTGCAGCTGCTTGCAGATGGGTCCGACACCTTCCGGCTCTGTAGTCTTCTCAGGCTTCCCTAGGATCCTAGGCCTGCTTGAAGAAAAAGTATCAGTTCATATCAGTTCTCTGCTCCCTAAGTCCTTCTGATCTTACTCCTGAATGTTGGAAATGCCTGCAGTCGACAGGTCACGCGGAGATGACTGGAGCAAGGCGGACTGGTTGAGTCAAGCGAAGAAGTCAGAGAAGAGGGTGCAGGGCTGCTTGTTGTCCATGGGGCTACGGGAAGATCCAGTCCCGTCGGTTTGAATTTCGGCCTGGGTGCTCCACTGCAACCCTAAACCCTAAACCCTAAACCCTAAGCCCTAAGCCCTAAACCCTAAACCCTAAACCCTACGTGCTTCCACTCCCAGGACTCCGGCAGCGGCTACCGACAGAATGGCAACTCCTGGGGAGCCGCGGCCCTCGGATCTGCGGGTCTGCGGCGGGTCGGTACTTGGGCCTTTAGGAGCGTTGTGATGCAGGAACTTGTATGGGGTGTGTATACATATATATATATATACATTAAACGGGCGAATAGCCCTATAGGGTGTATATATATATATATACACACAGCAAAAAAATATCTATATATCTATATATCTATATATCTATATATCTACATATCTATATATCTATAAGTAGATATAGATGTATACATATATATGTATATGTAAGCATAAATACATATAGCCCTTGCAAAGCATGGAGGCCAACAGCCCACAACTTGAGCCGCTGCTGACTTTGGGACTCGCGTGTGGGGGGCGTATATCTTTGTCAGAGAAGGCCAAGGCCACCCCTATCACTGGGAGTTCTGGGCGGTAGAACGTTGAATTAAACGATGGCCATCAGTCCCCTCAGTCTATCAGTTCTCACTTGGGATGAGGGGGAACATCCCAAGCTCTCGCCGTTGTCCAAAGCTGGGCACCCATCAAAGCCTTGACATGTGCTTCCGCCCGAGGGTGGCGGCCGACGTGGGCGAGACCGGGAGCCCCACAAGACCAAGGAAGCACACGTGTCTTGGAATCTTCCGGTCTGCAGGGCTACAGGGTCCAAGGTTCCACTTAAGACTTTCTGTAAGCCTCTTGCAGGAAGAGCTAGATGCTGACCTGGAGCGCTACTTCGGACGAGAGGCTCCCACCGACGCCTCGGCTGACTATCTTTTTCTGTCGGTATCTAGCCTTATCTACTTGCTGTCGCAAAGTAACCGTTTTTGGGTCGCCGTTTGCATAAGATAGCAGCAGAGCCAGACGGCTGGGCTAGAAATGACCACCGACTTCTACGGGGGTGGAGGGTGTGGGGCGGGCGTGGGAGACATGGAGGGGTCGTACTCTCCGAAAAGGTCCCGGCGACACATGATGGGGAGAAAGTCAGTCCAGGACGCCGAGGAAGTCACCGGCATACAGAAGCATCCGTCGTTCTGCTCCATGCATACCTTCTCAGCGCACACTCCTGGCGGTCATGAACTGAACCTGGTCTCTAAAGTATCCGAAGACGTGGAAAAACAGCAGCTAACATTGGGTTCTGCCTTTCTGCTCAGGAAGGCAGCGGAGCGAGCAAGGCGCGCTGAGCCGTTTATAGTGATGAGTATCCACAACACCTGCCAGCACCAGCTGCGGTCACTTCTCCTCCGCACACTACCAGGTGCTTGTACGTTCTCAGCATGCGCGACTTGCACTGTGTTCCACACTGACTGTTCCCGCCTGGTGGCGGCACGGGACAGCCTTGCCTAGGATCTCGACTCTGAATACCCGAGAATCGAGCTGAGTTTAGTTTAATGAACAAGGGGCCACAAAAGACCGACACTCTACAGCCCTAAAGCCTAAAGCCTAACCCTAAACCCAAACCCTAAACCCTAAACCCTAAGCCATTAGGCCTTAGGTCCTGCATCCCAACTGCTGTTGTGCAGTCCATGGACGCAGATCTAGACAAGTACATGGGCCGAGGCGACCCGGCGTGGGGTGTACAGGTGCATAAGTTTAGGGTTTAGGGTTTAGGGTTTAGGGTTTAGGGTTTAGGGTTTCAAGAACTCCCCCTTGAAGCACAAGTTTAGGGTTTAGGGTGCAGGGTTGTGGGTTTTGTGTTGTTGGGGCCTCTGGGTTTGGGCTTCTTGAGCAGGGTTTTTTGGAGTCCGAGGGTTTCGGTTTTGTTCGCTATAGTTTTAAGACCCCGCATGTTCAGGCCTGGGAAGCCCTGCATCAGACCTCGGAAGCCCTATATTCGATGAACCCTCTCAGCTTAAGAACAAAGCCCCCAGGCCCAAGCCCTCGTTGGTGTGTGTGTGTGTGAGAGAGAGAGAATTTGGGGCATGTTGTTTTTTGGGCTTGGGGCTTTACAGGCTCTGCTGCTCAGGGCTCAGGGGTTTTGAAGCTTATGTTGTACAGGCCTTCCCCTACACCTTTAAACCCTGAACCCCGGCAGCCCCCTTTCGCCAAAGAGTCGTGCAAAGGCGCGGAAGAGGAAGCATGTGCTGCGGCTTTGCGTGCTAAATGGTTGATCTACAAGTTAGGGCCTTTTGGGGTCTCTCCATGTCCTTATACTAAAAGTCTGATGTGTTTGATCCCCCCGCATGTATGGAGGGGCTTCAGGTTCTTTGACTACCTGCAGCTGTAGCACTGCAGTATAGGGGGCCTTACTGATTAGAATGGGGTTTTTGGGGGGTTATTGTAGTATAAATATAAAGGGACAATTTGGGAATAATATTAGTAATGATTACGCCCCGGTATGTGAGCACCACAGCCTCTCGCATGACCAATGGCAGCAGAAGCCCGCCCGCACAGAAGGTGACAAGGCCGCAGACGAAGAAAAGCCTGCTGAGGAGGACAGTCCCGGCCGCGACGTACTGTTCGACTTTTCAGGATCACGGTTGTGAGGGTATTCATGACTGGGAAGATGCTTCCGACTGCAACGAATCTCCCAACTACATTCCCGCCTCTACCAAGTCAGAGGTTCACACGGTGTGCCCTCCCAGCGTGGCGCTTTGGATTAGGCATGCAATACTTGAACCCGCAGCAAAGTGTCCGGTGGGGAGGGGGAGTTGGGGCCAACGGGAAAGGGGGGAGGGTGCGGGGGTTTGAGGTTTGGGGGGTTGAGGGTTACCCTAAACCCTAAACCCTAAACCCTAAACCCTAAACCCTAAACCCTAAACCCTAAATCCTAAATGTCCCCATGGTAGTCAGTGGCAATCAGTCCAAAGATGGTCCGGGCATTGTCATCACGTGTCAGCATCTTTACCACTTGGAAGATGCCTTTGTCGCTACACGCGTCATGACGGCAAGCTGCTGAGGGAATTCCCAGACGCATGCATTCTTTTATCCATTGTATCACATCCTGGTGGTCCTAGAACCCACCCACCCCCCCCCCCCCAAAAAAAAAAAAAAAAAAAGAAAAACTAAATTTTAAAAGAAAACATGGTTCCAATCAACGGCGTCTGCTTTCCCATGCCAAGACTCTTAACCGCATAGGCGAAGGACGATAAGGAGGCCGAGAAGGCCCCCGTCGGTTGCCTTGAATTGTTGCACATGTTAGCTTGCGTCAGAGTATGCTGTATTGCATTCCTGGCTGGGGCTTTGGGACATTTTTTATTTTCCCTGGAATTGGTAATTTGGAATGAGATGATATACGACAAACATATATTATTAATGATATACTGACAATAAATAAATTAATGCTATACTGGCAAATGGAATGGCGCGTTCAATGTGGTTTGGTTTCACTTCTCGCCGCAACAGACGGACTCACATGTCAAGAAAGCAAAGGGCTTATAGAAGGGTTGAACAGCTCAATCCTTCATCAGGCGTTTTGTAGCTCAGTCACTTTCCTTTCAGCTGCTGACCCGCTTTCTCTGTTATCAGGCAGCAGCCCAGCTGTTGCAGCGGTTCAGCCGCTTTTGGTTTAATCAGCGGCTCGGCCGCTTTATGTTGGATCAGCGGCGTAGCCGCTCGCTTGAATTCCGACACAGCGGCTCAGCCGCTTTCTGTTAGATCAGCGGCTGAGCCGCTTTGTGCTGTGTCAGCGGCCCAGGATCCGCTTTCTCTTCGATCAGTGGCCTAGCCGCTTTCTGTTTGACCAGCGGTCCACCGCTTTCTGCTGGCACTGGATCAGCGGCCCGGCCGCTTCTGTTGCGCCAGCTAGCGGCTCAGCCGCTTTCCGTAAGATGAGTGGTGCAGCCGGTGTCATTTCTGCTGGAGCGGCTCAGCCGCTTTTCGCAGACAAGCGGCTCAGCCGCTTTATGTTGACTCAGCGGCTCAGCCGCTTTATGTTGACTCAGCGGCTCAGCCGCTTTATGTTGACTCAGCGGCCCAGCCGCTCTGTGTTTTGAGCGGCTCAGCCGCCTTATGTCGACTCAGCGGCCCAGCCGCTTAAATCGGATGCTGCAGCGGCCCCCCCCCCCCCCCCCCCCCCGCCCCTTTGTTTAAATTGAAAATGATGAACTCAGACTCCATGCTGCTGATAGCCACGACCGGCAGAATTTTGGTTGACAGTGCCCCATATCTCGGTCAGCCCTTAGCTGGACGCGGGTGCAATGGAGAGAGGTCGCTCCCGCTCGAGATCCCCGACGACAGAGTGGCGTTGGGCGTGGCAAACCGATGGTACCTCCTGGTGGTGGCAATGGTTCCGGGCCGGCAAACAGTGGCTTGCAGCGAAGAAAGATGAGAAGAATGAAGACAAGATGCCGACGGAGACAGGCCAGCAAGGTAGCTTGACATCATCAAGCTCTCCGGCACGGAAGCGGAAGCGATCTTCAACCCCATGATCGACACCAGGGAAGGCACATAATTCAATTATTGCAAGATGTTTTGCAGCCATGACAATCACTGCCTGGCTGCCGGCTTAGCTGTACCAAGTACTACTTTGCCCCTGGAATGAGACTGATGAGATGATAGCTCCTCAAGGGCTATTGTCGCGATCTTGGCACTTGCAGCGTGAGAGCAAAAAGTGGGTGGAGGCCTTGTCTCCAAGTCCGCTCCCCAAGCCTGTGTACAACATTTAAATTCATGCTGAGTGCGACGAGGCAATACGTTTAGGTTACGGAAGCCTGCCGCCGCACGTTTGCAAGATTGGGCTGTAGTCCAGGTGCCAGTTCACGACAAAGTAAGACAGCGGCAGATAATTAATGCTTTGGGCTTAACCTAATAGCCTAGTGATGAGTCACAGTCAGGACCTGACTAGACTTGAGTGTAGAACAAGCCTGGCCTTGGCCTTGAGGTTGAGAAAACTTAGTAGGTTGAGAAGGTAGTGCTCTATTCCTTGTCGCTAGGTGGCTGTTGCGGGCTTAGCTGCAAGACGCAGTTGGTGCTATAATATTCAATGAATACTCTAAGCCTATACCAAATACTAATTACAGAGCAGGATATTAAAGTAATGGCTGCCATACCTTCACTCTACCTTGAACCGCAAACCCTAAACCCTAAGGACCTAAGACCCTAAACTAGACTTAAGTCGGATCAGTTACGTCTCAGTGACTGTACGTGTAGTGTCACTGGTAGCAGCAGCGGTCTGTGCCGCTCGGCATCCTTGCGCCATGGGCGAGCGACGACGCGTCCGCCGCGAGCCGTCCAGGACGCCGCCGCGCCGCGGCCGCTCCAGGTCCAGGTCGCCGCAGCGTGGCAGTGGCAGCGGCGGCATCACTGTCACCGAGCCCAGGAAGATCCTCTGGGCGCTGTGCCCGCGACAATCTGAGTGTGGCGACAAGCGGTACTTCGGCCCCTACATGGATGTGGAGCAGGCCAGGACCGCGGTCACCCAACACCTCCAGAGCAAGCACGAGGCCTTCGCTGATGCTGGGGACGCGGAGGCCGCGTACGCTCAGAGCAAAAAGGCCAACATGTATATTTGGTCCGCCCAAGACCAGCCGGACGGCAAACCCATCCGCGTGAAAAACAGGACGGGGTACCTGGAGGTCATGGGCCAGCCTGCAGCCCCTTCCACGCCACCAGCCAACACAAGCGGAGCGCCGCCGTCAACAGCAAGCACCGGGAGCGGATCAGTAGCGTCCGCAGCACCAGCCACGGCACCACCAGCCCCGGCACAAGCAGCCCCGCCGCCACCAGCCCCTGCACACCGCCGGGCACCACGGGCACGCCAGCGGGCACGCCAGTCCCAGGTTTTGGCGCGCCAGCCCCAGTGTGGGATGGCCAAGCAGCGCTGGATGCCACCGCCCTGGCTGCCTGCGCCGGGAGGATGACGGTTGGGGCGCCGCTCCGCCCCATCGTCGGTCTGGGGCGAGCGGCGCCCCAGACGATGTTGCAACTGTTGATGAGAGCGGCGGCGACGATGTCTCGATCGGCAAGCGCGCTGAGGGTGAGCAGCCGCATAATGAGACAAGCTTCGCAATCCTTCGACGATGAAGCGTCGAACATGGAAGCCATGCTCATGGAGCTCGAAGGCGTGCTTCCGCCGCCTGCGTGAGCATGCCGGGCTGGGAGACTCGTGGTTATAAATAATAATATAGAAAATTAGTCAGTGCCAAGCAGCAGCCTGCTTTCGTTATGTCAGCCCAATTTCGCATTAGGCCTACGCGGCACTCCTGCTTCCAGTCTCCTGGGCCCTAGTCTTCTCGTTTTGACGGCAGCATGCACATGGGACCTCTGTTTCAGTCAGACGCAGACAGTGCTGTTTCTTAGTTCCATAATATATCAGTATTCGTCGTCTGTCGGTTGGCACTAGACTATAACAATAATAACCATTGTTTGGTGCTATTATTATATATATCAAAACTACGAATGATATCATTGTCATCCTGCTTATGTACGATCAAAGTCTGCGTTTGACTAATAACAAGTAGTAAGAATATTGTACTACTGTTACACAATAAATTTAATCTACTTGCCATGTACTTAATGTTGCGATGGAGTCCGGGTTCGGGGACCCAGTTGTGCGGCTATAAGCTGCCTTTTCACTGCAGTGCCCTCCGGGTCTCACGCAGCCAACTTCTTTCGCGGCCTGGTGCAGGATCGACTCAGTGCCATGCTGAGTCAGACGCCCCTAGTATGTTCCATGACTAATTAAAATATTCGGGCAAGTGATGGCTCTATAATACTTAACTCCAATGCCAAGTAAGGACTGTCACACACGGGCGAAGCATCGATCCCGCCATGGCCGTTGACGCTAAACCTGCACTGGAGTCTGAGTGCTGACCTGTGAAAAGAACGGGGTGAGTCAAGTGTTCGGTGTTCCTCTGCTCGCATTCAGCGGTTATGACGGTTATGACTCATTCAGTGGCTGTGGCACTTTTCTGCTCGCGTTCAGCGGCTTTGCCGCTTCTGTTCAGCATCATGCGTGGATGGACCTGCCATCGCGCCATCACATTCTCCACGACTTGTCGCAAGACACAAGGCTCCGGAGCAACATGTGGCGTCCCAGTACAATTCACATTGCATATACTGTTTATGGGTTGTTACATACTGTTAATATTCAGTATGGCAATCAGTAATTCAGTATGAAATTACTCGACTTAATATTGCGAGCCTGGTTGTCACTTCCAGCCATGAAGCGCCGCGCTGAAGCTGCGTATGGCTCCTCGCCGCCCCGTCGTGCCAGGCAGATGCATGACGCATATTCCGAGTCCACGTCCGCTGCCTCCTCGAGTCGCTCGAGACCGTCCACCAGCCCTCCGACAAGGTCGGTGCCTGCAGTGCCCTCGAGTTGGACAGGGCGTGCCCAAGCGAAAGCCGCGGCCAAGGCTTCGACCAAAGCCAAGCCGAAAGCCAAGCCCAAAGGCAGGCCCAAGGGCGTGCCTAAAGGAAGGGCGAGACCGGCCGTGAAGGCCATGGCCAAGAGGCGTGGTCGACCCAGGTTGAGTGGAGATCCGGTTCCTGCTCCGTCCGCAGCCGGAGCTTGGCCTCGGTGCCATGAGGTCTACGACCCGACATGTGCCAGATGCATCTTCGGCAGGCGCAAGGGCACGTGGCAGAAGATTCACGGCAGCTTCACCCGGCGGACTGCGTCAGGGTGTCTCGTGCAAGCCTGTTGGCTGCAGGAGCGCCCAGCTCGTCTGGGCCAGCGATGGGGCATCGGCTGTGGCGTGTGTGCACACTTGGTTCAGCGTGCCTCCTCTCTTCGAGACAACGGCATAGGGCACCTGCGTCGCAGGTGGACTACGAAGTGGGCCCGCTTCGAAATCTCCAGCGTGCACTGCATGCAGGCATCTTGCCTCCAGCTCCACGCCCAGTCTGCAATCCACCTCACAGCCCTCAAGGCGATGCAGCTGCCCGATGTCAGCTTGTCGCAATTGGTCTGTCATGACCCGAGCGACACGAGTCTCCTCGTGGGCGCAGTGCCCCAGCTGCACGACTGGGTTCGTGCGTGGAGAACTGTTCGCAGTCCAATCAGCTTCCTCAAGCATGAGAAGACGGAGGCCTATGTGACCTGCAAGCGTGGGGATGCGAGGCACCTGACCCGCACGGCCATAAAGGACATGGTGGAAATCATGGTGGAAGTGGTCAGGGAGACCAAACGCCGCATCCTGGCGACGGCCGACCACGCGTCCATCAGCCTGGACGACGAGGCTCCCTACCGTGTGGTGCGGTATCGCTGTGCCAGGCAGAAGATCGACACGGATGCAGCGGACTCCATGGCGGCGCCGTGGCTGGCTGACGGCGATGGTGTTCTCTCCGTTTTGAGGAACGCAGGCCAGGCCCCGTCAACAGAAGCTTTGGATGAGGATTATTCCAAGAAGATCTGTCTCAGCATACAGACGGCCTTGCAGCGCCTCGCAACCCCCATGGGAAAGGGCCAGCAGCCGGACGTGGATGTAATGCAAAGATTCAAGGAGGTGCTGTCGTCCTACAGTTCTGATGGGGGTCGACCAATGCGCAAATGTGGGAAGCTTCTGCAGCAAGGCTACCCCAGATTGGTCCTGTGCCTCCTTGACAAGGCGCACAACGTTAGGCGTGCGTCATTGCCGATTACGATGGAGGAGAACTTTAAGAGCTGGTGGCACGCCGTCTGGGGCTCCAAACACTCCTTGATCCCAGATCTGCAAAATTCCTCGGAGTGGCGGATGCGATTCCACGTTCTGCAACAGGCTGTTCTCAAGGCGAGCGGGAACATGGCAGGCCAGGCCCAAGGAGCCTCAGAGCACAACAATTTGGCAGCGGCAATCAAGACGCTCAGCTTCGCCAAACAAAGGTTCGACTCCTTTTCAAGCCCGCAAGGGAAGTTCATTGCCCTTCTGCTGCCCGTGGCTCTGCTGCTTGCTGCGCAGAGCATGGACCATCGCTTGGACGGCCGGGTCCGCCATCGATGTCGCGAGATGTTGGAGCGCCTCACTGGCGAGAACATCTTGCTTGCGGGGCTCGCGGCCGATTTCGGCGCGGAGGTTCTGCGCTTTGTGCGACACTTCGATGTCAGGGACCCGGACATCGCTGCAACGTTGCGTCTTCGGGACGACTTCGTCTGCCGCCTACGCAGGCTTTTCAGTGAGGGGCGCATCTTGCTGGAGCCTGAGCCTGACGGCAGCATCCTGCCCGAGACGTTCACGCACATGGGCGTGCGAACTGCTATGGCAGCGGCTCCCATTCAATATGGCGACCGCATGCATTGCCTATGGGGGCCCACGGACAAAGCCAAGTGCAAGGAGATTATGTCTGGCCTACATGTGGTGGTTGACGCTGTCATCTCCAGATGTTATTCAGACATGTCCGAGCCGGACTTGCACATGGCGTTTGCCTTGTTCGACCTCCCTCTGTGGCAGCAGTTCAAGGTCCAGGCCGACGACGACCCCGGCACATGGGGGGACAATGTCGCATCCATGAAGCGACGGGCGGCCAGGCTGGCGCGGGCCTTGGGTCTGGACAGCCATGTGCTGTGGCAGGAGACGTCAGCAGCGGTGCATGCCTTCTTGGAAGACGAGGCTGCCGTCTCCAATGCGTGCGAGAAGCAGGACTCACGCCCTTGCTGGCGTCGTGTTTTGCGGGGCGAGCAACTGCCGGGCTGCCAGAGTCGATTTCAGGTCCTGCAGGAGGCGGTGGCTTTTTACGTGAGTGTGCAAGATGGGGAGTGTTCCGTGGAGAGGGACCTTGCCCAGCTCAGAGAGCTCCTGAAGCACCACGAGGCCTCCTTGGACGAGCGTGGCGTTTGTGCTGCAATGCTCCTCGAGCTTCGTCTCGACGGGCCCCGGCAGGAGTCCGATCTTGCTTTGCGGCTCTCCGGTGAGGAAGTTGCCCAGGATGCCGAAGCTGCTTTGTTGGACCCGTTCGCTCTGGCGGACAAAGCCGTCTTGAAGATGACCAGCTTCACCCGACGATGCGCCCAACTTTGGATACAGCATCATGGGCGACGCTTTCGCTGCTACAAGGAGCGTGCCGACAAAGGCCAGACACGAGTTAAACGCCAGGGTACCATGGCTTCCGTGTTCCGCGGCCAAGTTAAGGCCAGCAACGCATTGGCCTCCATGCAGCGCCCGCCTGCAGGCAACAGCGCCACCGTGGTGCCGGGCATGCGACTTAGCAGCTTTGCTCAGCGTTCCAGCGAGAGACTCCGGCAGAATGGTCGATGGAATGCAGAGTTGGAGAAGTTCCAGAAGCTGACGGAGTCCAAGAACGCGGAGAGGGCCCAGGAGCGTGCCAGGCAGCTGGCACGGCAGCCGCCGCTGATGCCGCCTCTGCGGGTAGGCAGGGTTTTCAAGAAGGGGCCTTGCATCCAACTGCAGCGCCAGACGGTGGTGGCTGATCTCTCCACGGAATGCAACGCCGCCGAAGCTTTCCCCGGTTGCCGCTACAAGCGCTGCCAGGGCAACATCAGTTACGAAGACTTTCAGAGGACGTCCATCTTGGCGGTCGACGATGCGGTGGCCGTTGAGCAAGGCCGTGCTGGGCGCACGGATGCCATCATAAGAGATTGTTTATTGTAACACTTTGCATGCTTATTAGTAGTCTTGCGTCTTAAATCTTTCTTTTTAATCACCTGCCTGGCCATGAACTACGACGAGGTCTTCGAAGCTCACCTGGTTGCTGGGCCTTGTTGCCCTGGGCAAAGGGATCGCCAGCATTGCTCACTGGAAAACCCGCAATCGCTGCCGGCACATCAGGGACTATGATGCTGCCCACAAATTGGTTCCCGCCGGCATCTTTCTTTCTGCGGAGTTTCGCCACGGCCATGGCGCTGTTGCACGCTGGCTGGCCAGGATCGTCGCCCTGCCAGAGTCCCGCTGGAGGATCTGCGACATGGAGGCGGAGGCGGATTGGCTGGTGACTGACAGCTTGAGCTTGTGTAAGTTCCTGGCCGCTGTGAGACGGCTGGCGCGCCACGACTCGGAGCTCACTTGTGAGGGGAGCAACTGGAAACTGGGGCCGACAGGCCAGCTTCCAAACAAGCCTGGCGCGAAGCGCCGAGCTGCTCCGGTTTTCGAGGGGGATGCAGCAGAAGCAGAGAGCGACTGAGTCCTAGGCTGCCTGCTGCGGGGTTTAGAGCTGACGGGGAAACTGGGGGAAGCAGATCCAGCACCACAACTCGCCTGATCCTGGCGTGTCAAAACTGTTTCAGGCTTTCCGGCTTTCCAGACCGTATTGTGTGGGAACTGGTATCATAGAATACGGGGGCAGATTTTCGAAAATCTGCCCCCGTATTGCGTGTGAGCCCGTGTCATGGAATACACTGTCAATTATGTCCTGCCTCTTGGACCGTATTGCATGTTACGTAATCACTTCCAATACGGGGGCAGATTTTCGCAAATCCGCCCCCGTATTCCATGTTAGCGTTTTTTGGCCTTCAGTTCTGAGACCTGCCCTCGATCCTCTTCGCTTGCTCTGAGCCATGACGGCCGCCAAGCGAAAGCGATCTCCAACTCCAGCTGCGCCAGCGGCGGTCCCGGCAAAGAAAGCAGCCGGCACGGTAGCGCCTCCACCGCCCCCCCTGCCGAAGCTGGTCCAGGTCGACTTGCCTGCCTGGACCGCGCAGTCCAAGCGCACGGACGCAACGAGCATCATGAAGAAGATCGTTCCGTGGGTCTCTTGGCAGCAGCCGGTGAGTAGCGGAGCCGAGGGACTTTGCTGGCCCGCAGTCTTGAGCTCAGGTGCTGCAAGAGTTGCCCACACGCCTGGAAGCCGCCAAGCTCTGTCCCAAGGGCACTGCCCTGAGGGAGATTTCCCCCTTGACCATTGGGGACAACGTGCCGGGCAGCAGCAACATGTGCAACTTCAAGGAGATCTGGACGCCTCGCAACGCGGCCACATCACTGAAAGCATCCCGTATGTACGAGGCGGGCGGCAGCCTGTACTGGCTGGACACCAACGTCCAGGCAGCAGCGGGGGAGCTGGACAGCTTTCTGGCTGAGCCCAGCTGGGAGGATGTCCTGACCTTCGAGCAGGCACACATTCCGGCCCAGGCCAGAAAGGCGGATGGGCGGCTTTACTTTACGCAGACGTTGACCTGCTACAACCAGCTCCAGCAGTTGGTGCCCCCTGGCGACGGCTTCCCAACAAATCTTTTCATGATGAGTGGCAAAATCTACCTCTTCGCCTGGTTCACCGCCATGGCGAGGGCGCTGGCGTCGGCAGACGACGAGCGCCTGCTGCGGTTGCACGAGATGGCGCTCACGGTGACCGTCAGGGTGCATGTGGAGGCACCCATGGATCAGATGTTGACATGGTCCATGCACGCCAGCGAACTGCTGCGCACGGCTGAGGCCGCGGACACGTTTGTCTTGTTCGCGAAGAAGGTTCGCAAGTTGACCGCGGACCTTCAGTCTGCGGGCGAGGACACTGCGGACTTGAAGCAGGTCCTGGAGGACCGCAACATCCTCTTCAACCGTGCAAAGGCCAACAAGACGATGGTGACAGCTCTGAATGTTGTCATGGGTATGCTGGGCCAGCGCATGGAGAGCGTGCTGCTCTCCGTAGACCGAGAGTTCGGCTCAGAGGTTTGGACCAGCGGCTACAACAAGCTCATGCGGCTGGGCCAGCTGGCCAGCAAAATCGTTCAGCAGTGTGGCAAAGCCGGCGCAGACAGGGATGTCATCCATTTCTGCTTGGAGGTGTCGCTCATGTGTCTCCGGCGCGGCTACCTGGATGCCTCTTTCTTCAAGCTGCCCACGCTGGACAGCAAAGGCAACGATCGGCCAGGCTGGATCGCTGTGGCGTGCACGAAGTACTTCTTGCTCCAGAGCATCCTGCAGGCAGCGAGGACAGCCGCGGACATGGGGGAGAAGCAGGAGCCAGCGCTGCGTCGAGACGCCGAGCTTATGGAGAAGCTCTGCAACCCCATCGAGTACGACAACGTCATGCCAGCGGAAGAAGCAGGGGATGCTGATGCCGCCGAGGGAGACAAGTCAGGCGGTGACCTGACGGAGGGAGATATCGATGCCATGGATGCTCTGGCCGCTGACTGCAGCAAGGGTGGGAAGCTCCTTGCGTGCTTGGTGCGCGACCTCTTCCAGGGCGAGTACGAAGCCGACCTGAAAACCGTGACCAATGTCTCCAGTCCCTGGGACACGCTGCAGCAGACTGGAGAGAAAGAGACGAAGCTGGGCAAGGCGCTGAAGGCTGCCATGGCGGCCTGGACCTCAGCCGTTCTCTCCCCCGCGTTCCAAGCATGGCGATGATCTGATTAAGTTACACAGGAGGGGCCGACCGCGAAATAAAAATTTTGAAATTCAGATGTCTGGACTCTGGACATTGACAATGTCTTAGCTGTGCATACTGTTTTGTAGTTTTGCATACTGACAGTTAAGCAGTATAGGAAATGAGAAATCAGTATTGACTGCCACCCTCCAGCTCTCACTGAGTGAGGCTCTGAACGACTCGTCCAAGGCAGGGTTCACTGCGTCCAGCAGCGTCGGCAACGCTGCACCGATGACATTGAGATCGCTTATGCGCACCGCCAGCGACGAGTCTGGAAAGGCTGCCGAGCGAGACCGGCTTTGGAAGGAAGCCCAAGCCCTGAGGAAGAAGAAAGTTCAGCTGGCCATCATGAAGGGCAAGGACACGTGGGCCGCTGTGTATGGGAAAAGCTCAGCGAAATCTTTCTGTGGCAGCCTCAACTCCCAGCATCGCCTTTTCGTGCTGTCCATGGATCTGTGGACAGAGACGGCCGAAAGCCACGCCAAGACACATGCTGTGGATGCGTCTGAGGTCGACGGCGTCTTGAAGTGGCTCGTGACCATGAACCAAGATTCAGATCTCATTTTGGTTCTGGATGGCTGCGAAGCGTCTAACCGAGAGACCATCTTGAAAGCCTTGGGCGGCAGAGTCCCGGGCGGGGGCGGGCTGTTTAACTTTCACGCCTTGTACCAGGCACGTGGCCCCGGCGGTGTGGGCTTGGGCCGCAGCCGCAAGATTTTTTGCGGCAGCTCCAACTTGGAGTCCCTCTACCTGCGCTTGTCAGTGCCACGAGTGCGGCTGTCCGTGAAAGATCGGGACGATTCCTACAAGCCGCCCGGCACGATTGCAACGACGCACGACATGAACATCGTGGGCATTGAGAAGAATGACAGCCGCCGGGGTCCGTTGATTATCAAGTCGGAAAAAGCCCAGATTTTCCCCGAGTCCGTGGAGCCCAGCTCCTGGAGAAAGAGCGAGGTGCCGCTCTTCTGGGCCTCGACGAAGTCCATGGAGTTCTGGATTACGGTTCTGAACATGCTGGATGTCTACCAAGTGGTAGACCTGACCCCAGGTGATGGGGAGCTTGCTCGCGCGGCCATGGCAACGGAGGCTGCTTACTTCGGCATGCTGCGCAGCGAGGTGCACCTGGGGTGGTTGGCGAACGTGCTTGAGAAGCACGTGCTGCACATGATGGCGAAGGAAGGCTCAGCATTCTTCAAGGAAGACACCGCCCACCTGATACGTGACCACTTCGGGGAGCTGTTGGAGGAGTACGAGCAGGCAGATGTAGACGACGAGGAGGAGCAAGAAGAGGCGTGACCATGTCTCCTTCGCTCCGACCATGGGCAGCGAGTGAACGTGCCAGTCAGTGGAGTTGCCACTACGTGTACGACTGGCCAAGGGGTTCAGCAGATGCAGTATCCGTCATACTGATTTTGGAGTTTCCCTACTGCATATTTTCAGTATGAACTTAGTGGAAACAGTATGGTCATTAGTACTGTCATGTAATATTAATATGCAATAATATAATAAATCTGGATGTGCATCATGCAGCTGCACCATTGCCCATGAGTAGGACAAGTTCTGACTGGTGAAATACCGCTGACAAAGATTTGAAGCACGAGCGTAAACAGACCGCCCCGCGGCCGTACTTGGAAGAGTTGCGCTGTTTGCAGAGTAGGTGCAGTCGTAGCATGTCCACTATGTCTTCGATGCGAGGTTGGCCCAGTTGCCGGGCGTGGGGTGGGGCTGACAGATAGCAGAGAGCCATGTCGGGGACTCTGAAGCTTCCGGCACGCATGCTGCGGGACCTGGAGGGTTATGGGCCGTGGATGCTGCGGCAAGCGGAGACTGTGCGCACCGCCTGGCTGCAGGAGTGCCACCTGCCGGCACAGCCCAAGCTGGCGTCCACACCGGTGACGGTGGGCACCGATTGCTCGGGGTGCGAAGCACCTATCTTCAGCCTTCGGGCCATGGGGATCAGCTTCCGCCACTGCTTCGCATGCGACAATGCGCCGCACGCGGAGACCTTTATCCGAGCTGTGACCAAGCCAGAGGTCTTCCTGTCCGACATGCTGGCAAGGTCGCTGGAAGATCTCCCAGCCCCGCACATCTATGTTTGTGGCTTCCCTTGCAAGCCGTACAGTTCGCTGCACAACGACAGCAAGGGCTTCAAGGAGAAGGCAGCAAAGCCATTCAAGGCCGATGCGGCCGAACGTCTTTTCAACAGATGACGGTGTAGTCTGAAAGTAGTTATTAACTGTAACGTAACTTAATTCGTCGAAGTATTATCGATTATCATTAATTTTGTGCTCTGCCCTGACTGTGCGCAGGCAATGCTGGAGACCGCGAAAAAGAAGCGGCCATGCCTGGCTGTGTTCGAGAACGTGCTGGGTCTTATGAAGTACATGCCGAAGGTCCGCGTCGACATGCAGCGTGAGCTGCACGAGTACATTGTTCTGCTGCTGCAAGTGTGCCCAACGGAGTTTGGGTTCCCAGCCAGACGGCCGCGGTTCTACTTCGTGGCAGTGCGAAAAGACATGTGCATCACGCAGAACCCAGGCCAGCTGGCGGACTTCGCGCGGAAGCTCCTGGAAAGTTTCCGGAAGCCGGTGCCGCCACACCTGGCCGATTACCTGCTGCCGTCCAACACACAATGTGTTCTGGAAGAGGTTTCTGGGAGCAAGGGTCCGAAGCCAGCCCAGAAGAACGCAGCACCCGCTGCTGCCAGTCTGCCGTTCAATGTCGCTGGCCTGACAGCCAAACAAACGGAGGTGCTCAAGCAGACTTGGGTGGAGAAGGTGAAGAAACAGGGCAAGGGCAACAAGTTTGTGGCCGACGTGAGTCAGAGTCTGCAGCGAAAGACGGTGGCGTTGGATGGCAAAACCCCGTGTGTCACTCCGGGGTCCAAGTTGTTCAGCGGCGAGTTGAACAGGCTCCTCTGCGCTGAAGAGAAGATGCTCTTAAGCGCCCTGCCGATGCACCGCATCTCCGTGCCCCAGCAGCTCACGAAGATGCAGTTACACAGCTTAGCTGGTAACACTATGCACTGCGCTTGTGTTGCAGGGGCCTTGCTCTGTGGCATGTCACTCCTGCGCCTGGGCGCTCTGAAGGCCGCGGCGACCAACAAGCCCGCAAAGACGGGAAGGGGTGTCTGGGTGGACTTAACCCGGGCAGCAAAGAAGGCGACTCGCAAGAAGGTCACGTTGAAGGCAAGCAAGACGCCCGCCTTGAAGAAGGTTGCCAGGAACGAGAGGCGTGGTGCCCAGAAGCAGACAGCAGCACAGCGCGGCCAAAAAAGGGGGGCGGCATCCTACGACACGGGGAGTACGACAGGTAAAAGGATGCGAAGTGCGTACTCCTGAGTGTGCACGGCAGCAGCCAAACAGACGGATTCAGCTCAACGGGGACGGCTGACAGCAAAAAAAGCCTGTGCAGTAGGCTGCGTGTTGCATACTGTTCAGAAATATCACATATTGTTTTTTTTTCAATATGACTTGCATTGATTCAGTATGAAACATCATCTCACACTCTCACTCTGGCATAATAAATAATAAGAGAAAAGGGAGTGCGACTTGAGTGGCTTGCCCTGACGATCTGTGAACCGCTGCCTTAGGCAGCCTTTCATGTTCTCATGATGCCGAGCAGCCACGAGCCTTCGACCTGTCCTCTCTTCCGCGCCACGCGCCATGACAGAAAGCTTCCTGAACGAGTTCGGGGCAGCGAACTTCCAGTTCAAGGACCTCGTCGAGCAGGATGTTGCAAAGAAGGCCAAGCGCGAGGGTGGCAGCTCCAAAATTGAGTCGGAAACTGTCGGCTCAGCCTCGTCGAGCTCTGCAACGTGGGTGGCAGGCAACATAGAGCCAGCGGAGCCAGCGGTGCCAGCCATGGCGAAGCCAGTGGAGCCGGAGGAAGCGGAGCTGGAGCCAGCACCTGCGCCCGAGGCGGAGGTCAAGGAGGAGGTCAAGGAGGAGGTCAAAGAGGAGGTCAAAAAGGAGGTCGAGAGTAGGCCCGCCTGCACTGAGTCCAAGCGAGCAAAGCAGCGGGCTGAGGGCCGCAAAAGGCCGCGGGGGGGCGACAAAACCAAGCGGGTATGGTACGACCAAGGCCGCCGCTGAAAAAAGGGCACCAGCTCGGAGTTGGCTTTGATGCAGAGACTGAGATTAATGTCTTCGTTGGATTGTTCTGAAATTGCATTGAATCACTGTACCTGAATGCTAAAATTGCAGCGTGCTCGTGGTGAAACGAAACTGGTTCTTCAAGGGCAGGGAAGCCTATGACGAATGTAAAAATCCAAAAGTGTTTAGAGTTTAAAACAGTTGAAGTTACCTCTGGCGATGATAATGAATGACATATGTCATATGACGGCATTTATTATAGAGGACAAAGGAAATGGTGTAGCTCTCAGTGAAGCCCTTGGCGCCTGCGGGAGCCATGAGCAGATCCTGCGACGCTGCGGAAGGGGCGCTGATGCAGCCCAGCCGTAGGACGACGACTACATTTAATCTTAATAAACGGTCATTCATAATAAGTCAAAGTTCAGATTGCGCGGTACGCGCCGCCCTGGCAGGATCCGGGGAAAAACAACCCTGCTGGGCACTCTGCAGCGAGTGCGTGCAGGGCAGGGGAGCTCGGCACTTGCTGCCACTGGCGTGCAAAAAAACCAGGTGAAGAGGAGCGGCAAGCGAAACCAAGGTGGGGCGGGGGGGCTGTTCTACTTCGCGACACTGGCTCTTAAAACTTAAGTAGGCTACTTAATTCAACCAAATTCATAGTAGCCTATTTTTAAGTTGTCCAGGTGAGACCGCGCAGAGGGCAGCCCGACAAGCAGGTGTGCTGCCGAAGTGTCGCAACCCGTATGCCTTGTTCCTGGCAGCCGAGAAGGCCACAATGGGCAAGCCGGGGTCGGTGGAGGAACAACGAAAGCGGATCTCCGCATGGTCCAAGGCATGGAAAGCTCTGTCAGACGAGGAGAAGCGCCCGTTCGTGGAGCAGGCTGCCAAGGAGAAGATAGCGAAAGTTCGGGCCATGGATGAGGCTGGCATACCACGGCCGCCAGTCCTGGCTGACTCTGAAGATGCTGTCCCAAGCCACCCTAGCGGTCCTCGCCAGGCAGCGGCCATGCACTTGGGAGATTGGCGGGTGGATTCGCGCGTTTCCCAGGGTGCGTACGGCGATGTTGTGGTGGTCTCTCATCGCACCGGCTTCCAGGCAGTCGCGAAGGTCTTCAAGAATGAAGGCGACAACTCCATGAAGGTGGAAAAAGAGGTTTACGACATGCTGCACAAGGCAAAGGAGGTGAACAGCAAGGCTTACTTTTTGCCCTTGTTAGACTACAACCAGAACGCGACCATCACTTGGCTGGTGCTGCCGTGGGTGGTCTCTGGTACTCTGGCAAGCCACCTAAAAAAGAAGCCGTTGGAATTCGAGAACGTGGACTCGGTACTCGTCCAAGGGGCCGCGGCATTGGAGTACTTGCACAACAAGGGCTGGTTGCATCTCGATGTCAAGCCGAAGAACATGCTCTGGGAGGCTGCGTCTCGAAGGCTTTACCTCATCGACTTCAGTTTGTCTGAGAAGATACCGGTGCAGACGGGCACCGTGGAAGCGGTGTGCACCAAACCGTACCGTCCGCCAGAGGCTTGGTGTAGCCCCCCCATTGTTGGGCAATTCACTGATTCGTGGAGCCTGGGCGCTGCCACCTACGAAGCAGCCACTGCAGAGGTCCTTTTTGAGAACCCCAAGCTCATCCCAAAATGGGAAAAGGATCGTCTTCTAGGGCCGACTGACAAGTGGATGCGTCTGCGCTCTCGAGCGCGCCTCTGTGTATGGGGGCTGCTGCATCCCGATAGGCGCCAACGACATTCCCTGAGCCACGTGCGGCAGCAGATGGGGGCGGTTGGATAAAAATGGGCGGCAGTATGGAAAATGGGAATGGATTGGATTATTTTTTAATATTACTGACTTAATAAAGTTGCTGTTTCAAGTCAATTCTATCATATGATAGAATCATAATTTCATACAAATTATTATTAGTAATAGTCATAGTAATAGTCTGATATATATATATATATATATGTATATGTATATGTATATGTATATGTATATGTATATGTGTATGTATGTGTATATGTCGTATATGTATATGTATATGTATAATATATATATATATATATTTTATGACTGTGGCTACAATTAATTTTTCCATAAACATTTTTCGCAGCACCCGGAACCTCAACCCAGATTCTATTGTGTCATTCTGTGGTATAATTGGGAAATTTAGCCCGACTCTGTCAGATTCTATTTCAGTATAAGTGCCACTCACCTCATGCTGGAGACTGTCGTGGGTTCAGGCCATTCGAGAATAAACTTCCGAAACCTTAACCCCCCCGGACGTTAGGCTTCAGGCTTTATTGGGAGTACGGTCTCCTTGCTGCTTTGCACTGCCAGCCTCGAGGCGGATGATGCAGAGATGGAAAAGGACCCAGGGTGGTTTTGGAGTTCAGATTTTTGTTTGGGATTTGGGCCTGGAGTTCGGGTGCGGCTTAGTGTTTCGTGCTTGGCAAGTCGGTGTTGGTGAGGCCTGTATTCAGCCCGAAACATCCACCGATGCCCTAAACCCTAAACCCTAAACCCTGAACTCAATCTTGAAAAGGAGAGCAAGGAGGATGCCTCCTGAACTGAGCTTGAACGGAGTCTCACAAGGAGCGTTCGTGGTGGTGAGGCATTTCTTTGGACTCTACAGGGTTCAGGGTTTAGGCTTTAAGGTTTTAGGGTTGAGAGTTTAGGGCTTAGGGCTTAGGGCTTAGGGTTTATAATTTAGGGATGTAGGGTTTAGGGTCTGAGGGCTGGGATCCCAGACCCCCTCCATGCAGAATGGAACTTGCCAGCCCCCAGCCCTAACCCTCAAACCGAGGTGACAGACTGCCTTTTGGCACCCTCCCCCCCCCGCCCCCGCCAACCCCCCCATACCTCCTTAAGACCGGATAGCCTAAACCCTAAACCCTAAACCCTAAACCCTAAACCCTAAACCCTAAACCCTAAACCCTAAACCCTAAACCCTAAACCCTAAACCCTAAACCCTAAACCCTAAACCCTAAACCCTAAACCCTAAACCCTAAACCCTAAACTAGAGGATTCTCACCATGAAGCCGCACAAGCGTTTTTTCATGTTTTTGCCACAACCGGATTGAAGGTTGAGGGTGCCCTAAACCCTGTAAGGACCCAACCACCCCAAATTGAACCCTCAACTTCTCAGTCTCCAAGTTTGGCTGCGCCCTGGCTTCCGCCTTCATCCCACGCCAGCTCCCATCTGTCGGACTCGTCCTGAGCCGCTATGCGGCCAGTGGCCAGGAAAATGCTAAGCCGAGCCTCACAGTCTTATGCCCTAAACCCCGAACCCCAAACCCCAAACCCTCAAGCCACGAAGTAACCTCAAAGCCTTGCATCCCCAAAGCAGCAAAGGGAGACCGACCGGCAAGCGTCCGCCCAGGAGATGGCCTCAGACGCCTGCCCAAAACAATAGTGTCAAGCCGCCTTGCACTGCTGACCAGCTGAATTTCTGGCTTGAGGTGTAGGGGTTTGGGGTTTCTGGTTTGCGGCTTAGACCCTTTGAAGACGAAGATTCCTTGAACATGCCTACTTATTGGGTAAAGTCAGATGCTTGCTGTAGTGGGGGAGAATGACTACCAATCCTCTACTTGCTGGCAGCAGTGGGCGATGGATGGAATATGCAGACGGCGAGTCTCACGGGAAATAGCCGAGTTTCAGAAGCGTGGCAGAAGTGTACGCGACACACAGACTGAAGGTCGCTTCTCCTCTTCTTGACACCACCTGCTACTCTTTCATGGCCAAGAATTCCCTAGCCTGGCAAGACTGCGACTGTTGGTCTGATTGCCATGCTGGAACGCCGGGATTAGAAGGGACAAACAAACAGCTCGAAGAAATTGCTTTGAGGTCCGCGGGGGTAGTTTCTCAAGGGATGTTGCGGCTTTTGCCCCGCAACGGGTCGCAGCAACTGCTAGCGCCACTTCCGTGTCATAGGCTTGTGTGTGCTTGACAGACACGTTCCTAGGCGCCGCACGCAATGCGTACCAAAGACGACAAAGCCAGGAGAACGTTTCTCACTTCTCACGGATCACTCGTCACGATGCTTTGGCTCAAAGGCCTAACAAGGGGTCTGATTCTCCGTGCTACTCACCGCAGAGTGGCGCCTTTGATGCAAGAGAAGGGTTGACGCTGCAGTGATGTATCTTCCCGTACCAGAGAAAATAGAATGGCGGCTCCCACTTTGGAGGCCAAGTGCTTGCTTAAAATTACCTTCCTCTGACGATAAACCATGCCTTCCGCTCTCTCACCCCCCTGCCCCAGCCCTTCCGTATATTGCATTATTATAATCTGGTTTTATTCAGTATATCTTCATCGAGTGTGATCATAGTTTTATCATTCTTGTACTCCTATATGCTGGTCTTCATATGAATATATTAATATATTCATACATGAATAAATATTAGGCTATGAATAGATTAATATATTCTTATATTTTCACATTATTATGATACCCGTTCGGACCCCCCCCCCCGCCCACCCACCCACCCACCTCTTCTCCTCCCAGACCACTCGAAAGTATTCTGCTGGAAAGAGTTTAGTTTCGGGCCTCGTGTTTGAGCTGCCCTTCCCAAACCCAACACCCTTCTACTGCAAGACAAGTCCACCGATATGAATCGAATTTGGGGCGGGAGCGGGGGGGGGGGAGGGGGGGGCTGAGGGTCTGTTATCAAAGCAGGAGGGGAAGATCAGCTAGCTCTTCTTGCTGAGTTGCCCTCTTCTCGTAGTAGAAAGAGCGCTGCATGAAGGAAGCAAGTTCGACCCCCCAGGCCCTGTCATACAGAACCACCCCAAAGCCGTTTGCAAAATGCCCACACCTGAAACTACCCGATGCCTCTTTTTGTCCATATAATTGATGGCGCCCCAAGCAGAATATGGCGCTCCTTGTTGCCCCTAAACCCGACAACCCCAACTTCCAAACTCCAATTGGGGCCTACCTTAGTCCTCCAAAGGATAGGGTTAAACCCTTCTGGGCAGAACTGAGGGTGGAAGAGCGCCCTCCGCAACCACC